CCTATATTGATATCATAAGCACCACTCGCTCTTTTCAAATTTGGGTTTCCAAAATAATATTTATACATACTGTTGCGCTCTCGGAACGATATTTTACGCACACGTCAACGGAACTCGCGAAATCAAAGAAATACAACACAACACTTCAAATAACAAAGAACACTTTAATATATAACACAAAACTCGACAATTAGTATCCGAGAATACAATTAAAATATCGGAGCCGTCACACACGTCCGCCCGAGCAGACAGCACCTGAAAATCTCACATCTCATAGTTTATTTACAAACAATCCATGGTGACGTCTAAACAAAATCACCATGGAGATTGTTTATAATATTTCAGCTGCTAAGAAACAGCTTCTTGAACAGTTGCACAACCGATCGATATTATCGATCGGTCTCTCAGCTGACCGCACACAGCATCAGCAGTGAAAAAGCACAGACATAACAATACACATATAGCAAAGAAGGAATATACAACAAAAGTCAAACGACACGAAACATATTCCTAAATACAGATGCCAGTACGTGTTTGGTACGCGATCTTATGAGATACGACGAACATGAGAGTATTCTAACGTGTCTGTATAAATTATTTAATATATAATTTAAAATCGGAAAACGCAAAAAGTAAAATGTTTTTTATGCTAAAACTAGTGTTAATAACCTTACTAAATGAAACGTATGCATACAGGGCCGCGCCAAGGGTATTTGCCGCCCGGGTGCGAATTCTACACTGCCGCCCTTTTTTATTATATATTTGTCATATTAAATATCAAATTAATGAGCGATTACTATATAATCTATTAAAGTTACAGGTAAATCATATGCAAAAACAGAGGAAAAAAAATTCGAAATATAAATATTATGATAATATTTTTCATCTATCCAGGTAAGTATTAAAATAACTTTTAGATTTTCCTGTAACTTTTACAGATTGCATAAAATTCTAGCATAAAGATGTATATACAGAATCGCGCCGAAGGGAGTATAAATTTGTAAAATAAATTGCCAAATTAAAAACAAATATTAAAATATATATTAATATATATTTAGTTTATCTTATTTATGAATTCTATATTAAAAATGCTTACGTCGTAATACACTATGCCGCAATCGCGCTCAATCTCTTCGATACGGCAATAAGCAAGATATGAACGTTTTGAATTTTTAATAACCATTTAGTGTTAACATATAATCTATATAAATTTAACTTTACGTGCTTTTTTTGTTGCGAATTAATTTATTATATTACTTAAATCTAGTTCAGTTGCTGTCTTATTTTCAATACTAATAATACTTAAATTGGACAATCTTTCCTGTGTCATAGTCGATCTTAAATGATTTTTTATTATTTTTAGTTTAGAGAAAGATCTTTCTCCCGTAGCCACTGTTACAGGTATTGTTAAAAATATGCGCAAAGCTACTGCAAGATTTGGAAATATACTAATAAGATCATTAGCAAAAATATATTCTAAAACAGCTAATGGATTCATCTGAGGTTTTAAATAACCAAAATATTTTCTATTTCTTGACACAATTCAAGTGCATCTATGTCAGCTTCTTTTCGTAAATCATCTGATAATTTAATTTGCGAGTCTATGCAATATTTTAATTTCATCTCTTTACTCATTGATTTTAATAGATAAATATCGTTCAAAAACTGAAAAGTATTATTATGGTCATTTAAAAGTTCAAAACGCTCATCTATTTTGCTTATTGTTATATCTAAGATAACAAAATAAAAATTAATCTTAAACGAATTTTCCGGAAGTCAATTATTTCATCCATAGCTTCGTACATAAAAAGTTTTTTTTTCTTACGTGGTCTAATTACACTAGAAACAAGAAATTCATTTTCACACTCCATGTCTTGTGCAATTTGTTTTGCATTTTCTAATATATCTTTGAAACCGTCATCAGATCTACATTGTTTTAAATACTGTTAAGTTCTTCAGCATTTGTATTATTGTTGGTAGCACTATATCAGACTTTTGCATCAAATTACTAACAACATTAATTTTGGATAAAATTTGATACCAAATTACCACAGAACATATAAATTTATACGACTTTATTCTTGTTAGTAAAGATTTGGCGAGATTTCTGCTGTTACTATCTCGGGATTGATCATTATACAAATTAAATAAAGCATCATATATTGAATCTAAATTATATCTGAATACCTTAACAGCATCGATTCTACTTTCCCACCTTGTTTCGCTAACTCGTTTCACAGTTAAAGTGGGACATTCGTCTTTTAAAATTTTCCAACGATATATCGATGTCGAAAAAAATACGTATATTTCTTGAATAATGTTGAAAAAATTTTCTATTTCTAGAGAAGCCTTCGCGGCATCGTTAACTACCAAATTTAAGCTATGCGCGGCGCACGGTACATAAAATGCTCTTGGATTAATATCCAAAATTCTTTTTTGAAGGCCGTTGTGTTTCCCTTTCATGTTTGCCCCATTATCGTAAGCCTGACCACGCATGTCGTAAATATTAATATTTTCCCGATATAAAAAATCAATAAGAAAATTTGTTAATCCTTTACCTGTTGTATCTGAAATAGAACAAAAGCCTAAAAATTGTTCCTTTATTTCAATTTTTTTGTTCTCATTATTTAAATGCACATATCGTACAACGATAGTTACTTGTTCTTCATGAGATACGTCCGGAGTAGAGTCTATTATAACTGCATAATATTTGTTTAATTTTAACATCTCTATAATTTGATTTTTTACATTTTCACCTATTATAGATATTAATTCGTTCTGAATCCGATCACCCAAATAATGAGGCATTTTATTATTATCATTTTGTATACGATTTATATGTTCTAACATGACATTATCAAATTGAGCAATCATTTCAATTAATTTCAAAAAATTTCCATTTCCTTCTTTATACAATTTATTATTGGTACCTCTTAACGCCAAATTTTGTACTGCCAAATATTGAATTACATGTATAATTCTTTCAAGTACTAATTTCCATCGATTTTTTTCTAGTTTAATGATATTTTCATTAATTGTATCAACCGTTCTATCATATTTTAATGACTTATTGAGATCAACCCACGATTTAAAACTTTTAACATGTCTTTCACTTTTTTCGTGTCGTTCTAAAGTTCTAGATAGATGTTGCCAATCCTTAAAACCATCTTCATTATTAAAAACGTTAATTTTATTATTAAAAAGTTTACAACAAAAACAATACGCGGCGTCTTTTAATTTTAAATATAATAACCAATTTCTGTGAACTTTTTCGTTATTACTTAAATGTTTATAATAATATTCTGAAGAAAATGATCTTTTTTTACTATCTACGGGAAAGTTAAAGTTTTGAATTTGTCTTGGTCCAATATCAACTAAAGTCATTCTAACACTGTTAAAATTTTAGGCCACAATCCTGGATCATGAAAATCATCAATATTGTAGGAGCTTTCATCTGTAGTGCACGTTCTTTCAGATGTACTGCTGACAGTTTCGTTTATACAAGAGGCACTTACATTTGTAACTGATACGCTTTTAGTATTGGAGACGCCTTCGATTATGTTGCACGAACTATTAAACGAATCCTTTGTAGATGTGAAATCTTGATTCTCTTCTGTAAAAACGTTTTCTTTTGGAGGTTCAGTACATTTTACATTTTTTGAAAATGTGGGCTCAAAAAATTTTGAAATATTAGTTGTATTTTTACTAATATTTTTTCTTTTTCTAATTTCCGCTTTCGATATTCAGCTCCTGAAAGCCTTTTTCTTCCATCTGACATCTATAGATAATCAATTAACTTTTTAGCATGTTGAGAAAAAATCAATTATTTTTATAAAAAAAAGTCAAGCTACAACACTAACAATATTAACATAACATAAATTGACATAAAATTGTATAATTTTTAGTTTTAATTAACAAAATAATTAAAGTCAATGAATACGTATTATAGATAGTAAGTAAACATAGTTATGTTATAAATTTTAAACTAGAAGAATATATATTTATTAACGGTTTAATATTATATTAAATATATACATTATAAAAAAGTAATTTACCTTTGCTTATATGTATTTTTCTGAAACACTGACCAACAAAAACTAATAAGTTCAAAACGTATTCGTTAAATGTAATCAATACGATCAAAACTTTGAGTAATGGGCATCTAATTCCGAGCACTGACAGCGGTCTACGGCTTCCGAGTCCACACAAACAACAAACGAGAATCGCTATTAACAATATCGCATCATTACCACAGCCATACTTTTGTTTTTTTAATTATGTGTCACATATGTATAACGTCGGATTAACAAAACAGAATCGGCACAAAAAATATAAAATCTATAACAGAACCTTAAAAAAAAAATAGAAAAGAATCAAAATTCCATATCTGTGAAAGATTTTTCGAATAATTCACGCAATAACTGGGATTCATAAATAAAACAAATTGAATTTGCCGCCCCCTTCATTGTGCCGCCCGGGTGCAATGCACCCTTTGCACCCTCGGGTTGGCGCGGCCCTGTATGCATATATCACGCAAGATACTGAAACAATACTGCTGCCAGCATGGAACCCGATGGGCGCAAAAGAGGTACGTATGTTTTATTGTGCTGCTTCATTGTTTACCGTTTAAAACATTATCCCATAATCACCAAGTATTTTATTAATTGTTATTCATTTATAGATATCATTGACTCTAAAAGCTTTCGGACAATTGATTCAACTAAACTTGCATAAAAACGATCGTATTGTATTGCCTGAGTATGAAGTTTGGAAATATCATTTAAATGACAAGTTGAAAGCATCGGATCTTTGTTTATATATTCACAGGGATCATGTCAGTTCGGCGATCATCAACTTCTGTGACGAATATGGATTGGTCGGTAGTATCATGTAAAAGACGAATTGTCTTAAAATTTTTACTTTTAACCTTTACTGTTTCTTGTTTTATACATGAACATGAGACACAAAAAACAAATGAATATTTTTTTAATGTAGGAAGGACTCGTTTTTCTGAAGAACGACAACTTTGAGATTAAACCTTTGTGGAACGACCTTGCGTCTTTGTCATTACTCGACGACATTTACGTTCAAGAACAAATTAATCTTTCATTCGGAAAACCTCACCTTATTAAAAGATCACTGCAATATTTTGCTAATTCAAGTCTTTATCATTTCGACAATTTCAAATCAAAGCAACGTTATGTACGAAATACGCAACAGAAATTAATCGTAGAATTGGCCGTTTTCTTCGACAAATCAGCCACTGAAAAAAACAAATATTTTTTACGTTTCCATTATGAAAAGTTACGAAATCTGATATTTGCATACGTAAATCAAATCCTTTTGTTTCATCATCCGAGTTTGGGTGTTTCCATCGATATTTGGTTGGTACATTTAGAAATTATGCAAGAACAACCGAAAAGTTTGCCAGTTTACGACTTTGAGGAAATGGAAATATTCACTGCTTCGGAAATACTTTAATCGTTCTGCAATTACGCGACTCTCAGTCTTAGGAAAAAGTGTCATTGGGACCTTGATCTTTATATAACCGGATTAGATTTTCCGTTTAGAAGACAAGGTAATGGTGGAATTGAAGGATTTTCCTATACAGGAAGATTGTGCAAGGACTGGTCGTCTTGCGCGATAGCAAAATTCGGTGCTGTACCTAGAGCAATACATTCTGGCTTTACAGCAGCCCGCATTGCTGCTCATGAAATTGCTCATGTGTAAGTTTATATATATTTATTTTATGTATATATTATTTATAAATACTATTTTTTATAAGAATTTATTTGATTGTACAATATATGTATATATTTAAAGTCAGAGATAAAAAAAAAACTCGTATAGTAATCTATTAATTATTAAAAGAAATTATTATTAGCAATTCTGATTATTTGTTGTGAGATTAATGTATTTAATTTTCGTACACTCGAATTATCTAAATTTGGAATCGGTGTACATTAGAATGTTTCAGTGTAGACGATTAAGTTTCTATGTGAAAAATAAATTATTTCTCACCAATAATTGCAACTATTATTATATTATATTTGATAAAAAATAAAAACATTTTTTTTTTAGAGATTTGATTTTTTTATTATTTAGTTTATATCAAAGTATTTCAAAAAAACGACAAGAAGTAAATATATTGTAAAAATAAATTATTTATTTGTTTCAAAGTTTAGGAGCACATCACGATGTAGAGATAGATGGGAAATGTAATAAGAACAAATACTTGATGGGCAATAACTGGCTAAAACGAGGCCAAGTAACATGGTCAGAGTGTAGTCGTAACCAAATTGAAAAACTCGACGAAAAGTGTCTTAGAAATCAGGCGAGATCGATAAACCTCGATGACGCATATGCATTCTATCATTTGCGTTATCACGATTTACCCGGAAGAGAATAGACCGCAAAAGCACAATGCGAATTACATTTTCGTGACCATGATGCGAACGTAGTCACGTTGCATGATATATGTGATACTTTAGAATGCGAGGTGCCTAGTACGTCCAACGATATGACATCATATAATCGCATTGGAGCGCCGTTGGATGGTACGCTTTTTATTGCTGATTTCTCACATACTTTTTAGTTTAATGTATTTAATATACTTTTTTTCAGGAACTTATTGTGCACCCAGGAAAGAATGCCGCGGTGGAAAATGCGTGCCCGTTCAAGAACCGCCATATATTTTTAATTATTATAGAAAGGATAAATGGAGTGAATGGGAAGTAAGCCCCTGTGAAAGCAGTTGCATCAGAAATTCTAAAGGCGTGCAAATCAGACGACAATTTTGCGTACACAGGAATAAAAAAACGGCGAATTGCAAAGGACCGTATTACGATGTTGTTATGTGCAATGATTTCAGCTGTAATTTTTTCACCAACCCAACAATTTATCAGTTTGCTCAGAAAATGTGCAATATATTCAGCCAAACTATGAAAAGGTTCAGAGGTCCAACAATCCAATTGAAAAATTGGATAGAATCCTCATGGAAGCAGGCCTCTCATGATGTCGAGAAACCATGGATAGCCTGCACTATATTCTGCCTACTAAAGAATACAAGTACTTACTACCCAGTACGTGAAATAATGTTCGATTTTGAAGGTTACTCGTACATTTCGTTTCCATACTTCCCCGATGGAACGTGGTGTCACAAAGATAAAGATGATCAGGATTATTATTGCCGGCAGCATTATTGTCTTCCGGAAAACTACTCATTTGAAGAACAATATTCGAGAGACTATCGACATGTGTGAAGAAGAATCCTAAGAAAAAAAAATTACAAAATGTACATAAATTAATTTACAACCGTTAGTTAAGTTGTTTAGTTGTTGCAGATTGTTCATCTGATATACAGTCGTACGAATTGTCATTATTAACTTCTGTTTTGTGTATCGTCCATTCCTTGCTCGATGAAAACAAATGGACGAAGAATTTGATCAAATTATCGGCATTTAAATCAAATTTCATTCATTGATATTATTAAGAGCAAAAAAAATTTTTTTTTTAATTATTAGGTAATAATTAACATTCTCACAAAAAAGAAGAATAAATAAATAAAGTACAAGCATTTTTATTTGGTATAAGAAAATGTTTCGGAAGAAAATCAACGAGAGCAATAACGTCACCTAATATGTTATGTTTTAATAATTTACCGATGTTATATAAATTAGTATTTGTATACTATATTTGACGTAATAATAAAAATTAAAATAAAAAAATGCACGTTACGTAATTGAATCATATTCAAAATTTATTTAGTACAAATAATCGATTTATTGAACTTAAGAGCCTGTTCACGGAACGATGTTAGAAACGAGTTCTAATATATTTGCTAATTTTAATATTTAATGAAAACAACATTTTTCTTATTAAGAAAAATATATATACAAAAAAATATTTATGTACAATATCTATTACAGTATGTGTAATTTTTGCCTCGTTGTTTTCTTTTTCTTTCAATTTCTTTCAATTAATCCGGCTGAGTTTTAATGTTACATTCAATATATAACAAATATAAAAATTTTATAATATTCGTGTATAAGTATATGAATATATATAGACAAATTACGACCTATCGTAGAAAATATTTTGTGTCTCTTTAAAGAAAATTTGCTACTTAAAATTATTAATAATGACACAAGTAATATGAAAGTTTGTTGTACTCGTCATTACTGATGCTTAATTTTCGTAAATTATTGCAGCTTCTTGCTTAGTTAAAAAAGTTGTATTCCACACGGTTTATCAATATGTAGTAAATGTCCGATGTAGTGATGACTCAATACTTTGCACTGAAAAACTCAAGACGAGTTCATTATCATGAAATGCGCCTTTTTCAGTCTTAATGTGCCGCAATTGGACGCTTCGGCGAAGGCAATGCATGCGGTTCACGATACTGACATGCCGTGAATGGCTTGCACTATATTCTGTCTACGAAGAAACATCGTTACACACGCACTTATTACATTCCACGCGTGAAAAAATGATACATTTAAATATCTACCCATTCTTTTCAGACAAAACGTGAAGATGGCCAAGATTATTACTGTCGTAAGCATTATTGTCTGCTAAAAAATTGCCGATTAAGAAAAAAATTGTTAAGATATTATCAACACGTAAACGAAGATGCGAAGAAATTGGGACCACAAAACACGTGTAATAAATCTAGAAGAGTCCATCCAGTCCGTTACTTCATGTACCAGTCATCTGCTCCATATTACCCTCCTTAACTTCTGTTTTTGCGTAGCATCAATTCCATGAAAAGACCAAAAATTTTGCCGAAAACGGTATTCAAAACATTTTCAATAGTTGACATTAACAACAGCAGAAAGAAATCGATAAAAAAATGATTAGTTGTTAATTGACATGCTTACAGAATGGGAAAATAGATCGTTGGTAAAGTGGATGCACTCTTATTCCGCATGAGTGTTTCAAGAGATAGGACGAGAGCGATGACGTCACCCACTTTGCTGTCTATTTTAAGAATGTCTCGATGTTATATTTCTATTGATATAAGAGCGGGATGAGAAGAATCGAGGGCAATAAAGAAATGCGTATCATGTAACTTAATAATTTTCATATTATTTAGCGTACAAATAATTAATCAACCATTAAACTTAAGAGCACATTACATAACGGTATATTGGCGCGACGTTAGAAACAATCGAGTCATAATATATTCGCTAATTTGCCTTATTATTTAATATAAACAAAAAGTTCCTCTATTAGACAGAATGTATGTACGTAATAAAACATCGACCTACAAAATTTGTCGCAATATCTGAAACTTTTGTTTCGTTATTCTTTCCTTTTTCGATCTCTTTTAATCCAACTGTGTAATATACTTAATACGTCGTTGAACGTATCGCTATTATGTGCCGCTACGTGCTTTGATTATTCGAAACATTTTAAGTTTCCGATATTGCACTCATGTTTGTCTTGCAGCCTGCGTACATACCATACATGCACACCTCTAGAACGCACGCATATACGCGCACACACATACACGCCTAATACGTGTAATAGAGGAAACGAAATAATTCAGATGCGACAACCACATGATTAGAGATGTAGCGAATTCTCTTTGTAATAGTTCCATAATTTAACATGTTCGTTTTTAGTCGAGCTATCGCAGAGGCCAATAATGCTACGTACAGAGACGCCGAGTCGTCGAATTTAAATTCAAATAAATATTTAATGCAACGTCGAAAAAATTAAAACATTTATTTTTTTATAGTCGGCCTCTACAAACCAATCGGGAAAACATTTAATTGTTCTTAGAATCATTTCGCCATAGTGGTCGTTGCTGCATATCGCCGCATCTCGGTGTACTAGAACGTACACAAGACGTATCGTTATTTCGCCGATCGAGACGATTAGAGATGTATAATTGTATCGATGTCCCCTACGTTGTACATTCGCGTTTCTTGATTGATTTATGCGAACTCAATTGGGTAGCGTGTCGTATAATATATCCTTAGCACTTTGTGTCAGCGTCTCGGGGAATTTGATGTCGAACGATACAATAAGGTCGCCTTTCCGCGATGGCTCTTTGGGGAAAGGTAGTCCGTGTCCTTGGAACCTCTTAACCGTACTTGGCTTGATGATCTCTCTCATCAGATTCAAAGGTATTTTTTCGCCGGTTAGCGTAGGAACTTCGGCAACAGTGCCGCATAGAGCTTGCTTTAAGCTCAACTTGCACGTATATCTAATGTCGCTCCCTTCTCTCCTGAATATCGGATGTGGTTTATCTCTAATGATAAAAACGATATCTGCTGGCTCCCTCCTCGGTGACTGATCGCCTTCCTTCTGGAAAGTAATTTTAGTTCCAGCCTTCCAGCCTGGTTTCACATTGATAGTGAGTAGTTTGTCCTCTTTTTTCGTGCTGCCGTCCGGTTGTATGGCCCGTCTGCATATCTTCATCTTTTTCGTGCAACCTCGCAAAATTTCCTCCAAGCTGATATACAAGTCGTGCTCGATAGCTGGATCCTGGGCGCGATCTTTACCGCCTGCTTTACCGGTATTTGGACTCGCAAAGTTGAATGAATGCGATCTAAAGGTACCACCTTGCCGCGGTGGTCCTGCCATACCGAGTCCAAAAGGGTCCATGTCAATGTCCATATCATCGTCGTGAAAGCCGAATCCTCCACCGCGATTACCAGCGAATTCGAATAGATTGTGAAAAGGACTAGCCGAGCCAAAGAATTGTGCGAAGGTCGCTCTGGGATCACCGTGGAAGGTGTATGTGGCACCTCCTCCACCTCCACCAGCTGACGCACCACCCTTGAGTCCCTCCTCGCCGAATTTATCATAAACTTCTCTCTTCTTCGCATCTGACAGCACTTCGTATGCCTCGGCTATTTCCTTAAATTTCTCCTCGGCGCCGGGACTTCTGTTCTTATCAGGATGATATCGTAAGGCTAGCTTCCTGTAAGCCTTCTTTATTTCCTCGTCACTGGCTCCCTTGGCTATACCAAGGATTTTATAGTAATCTTTCCCCATCCTTTTTGTCTAACGTTCCTGAAACATCAGAATATCGAAATTTTAATAAAAATCAATAAATTGTACTGATAAAATTAGAAGAGTTGTATTTTTATCTTTCTCTATATTTTCTCCTATGTATCTTAGTTCTTTTTTTTTTTATATTATAAATACTGTTATAATTAATTATAATCATTAGTACTAGCAAACTGATTTGTTTTGTTTTAAATATATTAACATATATAATTGGAAACTAGAGTTTACTACATATCTCTACTAATCACGTGCGCATTCATCGTGTCGTTCATTACCGCCATATTTCCGCACGATAGTGTACTCATTGTATTAAACGGATCACGTACAGGCGTGATGATTCTCGAATGAAGAAAGAGAGAAGGACGATACGTTTTCGGAATACATTCGCACACTCGCTCGCGTTTGCTTTTACGGGCATGCCTCGTGTGAATGTGTGTGCTGAAACGTATTTAGAGCCTGTCGCATGTGCACGGAGCGCGGACGCGAGTATTTATCGTAGTCTTACGAATTTTCTGCCATTTTTTTCCTTGCGTCAAGTCTCGAAAGGTGGAGAACCGTCGAGAGAGAACAAGCGCTCCAACACACCCACGTACATATCACCGATATCTATTTCTGGCAATGATGACCGCGAATACGCGACGAATGTTTCACTCGTTCGCACGATTCGAGAGCTGCAACGCAAAAATAAATACCCCACCCTTAGATTAAGTTCCGTGTCATTGCCGTTGTCGTTGTCACCATATAGCTCTGCCACTGTTACATTTTTCACAATTCACGTATGACATGGTAACGCGTCGCGAAAAGGTATCCACGGTGAAAAAACATACGGAGAGCGAACGATCGATCCGTCTGCGAGAAATTTTGCATCAATTATCCCCTTAAATCCGCAAACGTAAACTGATTGCAAGGTTAATGGATCAATTCTGATTTTTTTTCCTTCACGCCTTTATTTTGTATACTACTACTTACTGTTGTAATCTCGTAATTATTCTTCAAGCGCACGTTCTCACGTAGGCACTTGAAATACCAGAAGCTCGTACGTTCGCGAAAGTTCACAAGGAATGAGCGCGAACACTTCCAAACGTTATTCGATACTTCTCTCGTCACGTACTAAACTGTGTCGCGTAACCCCGCTATCTATATATATATATAAACTTTCCATCTGGCAGCTTCCGGAACTTTCGAGAATGGATCGACGCCAGTTCCGCAGCATTCTGTCAATGACGTCATTCCGTGCAATATGGCGCGAGTTTCAAATCTGGCGCTTTTCCTCTCCGTAGATCATTTTCAATGTTTCAAGAATACGGAAAAAAGCATTGAAGATATATCGAGCGATATTATAATATATAGATATTTTGCAAATACAAAACAGTTTTATAAAGAAATTACTTTATTCAATCATCTGCTTAAACGTAAAAACAGAGCGTGTCTACATTCTCGTGAATTCGGCGGCATATATTTGTCGTAAAAATCTTGAATAAATTCTTCCACCTTAAAACCGAATTTCTGGTATAATAACACAGCGGGATTAGTAGCCGATACGTGTAACGTGACATCTTGTCCCATACAGGTCTGTATTAAATGATACAGCATGAATGTGCCGATGCCAGATTTTTGCCATTCCGGACGTGTCAGGAAGAATGAGATGTAGGCTTCATTATAGCCGACATACGGTACCAATATCGCGAAACCCACGACTAATTTTTTGTACAGCGCAACGCAGGTAAAGTCTGGATATTGCAAACATTCAGTCACTAAAACAAATTCAAAATAATACTTTAAGTACAACACAGGTCGTGTATATATCAGTAGGTGTCGAGCATGCATCCACTTACAATCTATACCAGGCCAAAAGAATTGATTACAGAGACTGTTGATTGCGGGTATGTGTTGCGGTCGAATGTAAGAATAATCAATGGGTGATCTAGGCGACGGTCTCCACTGTGGATTATTTTTATTCACTTTCGCGCACAGTTCGTCTGTAAGTCTTAACCACAATGGCTGGCAAGAAGTATCTCGCCTTATAAATGGTTTTAAAATTCTGTTCGTGTATGGACTATGTACAGACGTAGGTTCGTTATAGCCCTGCAGTCTTTGTTCAAAGATGCACCCAAGATCGTCACTAAAAAATCGATCCAACACTCTGTTATTGTCTTTTGATAGTATCACGGATGTTTCAGATTTAGACCCAAAACAATCAACGTCTAATAGAGGAAGTCCGTAATCTCTCTTCGTTTTTCGCACCGCTAATTTTCTGTACAATCTTCTGATAGCCGGCGGTGCTTTATTTAGATCAGTTTTATTGATTCTTTGTAACAAATATACTTCTTCTTGACGAGTCATACGTGAAATTTTCTCACCTGCAATACATACATAATATGTACATAGAGATTTTATACATCGCGCATGCAACTTTTTTGATTAAAAAAAAAAAAAGTACTAGTAGCAGGGAATGATTTAGACCAAGGCCGTTTACGAGGTTTTGCTTCTTTAAACAAAGAAACTGGTAGCTGCTCCTGTGTGAAAGCAGGACTATCGTTACAGTCATCATCGTATCCTTCTTCCTTAACATTTTTAATTTCATCACCAGTATAATGTGGTGAAGTACTCATATTATATGACCAATCGGAATTATACATTAGTTGTGCTAAATGAAAATTGTTTTCGTATTGACAGTCTTGAATTAAGTCGGAGATAGATGGAACATTATTCTCGTTACGCAATATTATATCATCTTCCATATCCATATCTGCAATATATAATTTTCTCAATAGATACATATTATATTTGCACTTTTTACTTTTACTTATTTTCTACTACATACCGTTTGGCTCATCATCTTCGAGTAAAAAGTCAGATAGTGTTTCAGTAGGTTGAACATATGCATAAGAATATACTGAGCTTTTGTTTTTAAATAATTCACTACTGCAATTGCTATCATCGCCAACCGAGATGCTGGAATCTGACAGTGCAGGACTACATGATAATTTATAAGATAATTTTAGACCAATATTTTTCTTTCTATCCATTACCATTTTGCTATCTAGAAATAGAGATTATATTAATGCCTAATATAAAAAAATTGCACAATATATATTACATAATTTCAGCAATATTACTTTTGGAGATTAAAATTTCAGGGGGATCATTATCCAAGAGTTTCCACCATCCAGATTCCCCTAATTCACTAGTGCCAGACTTAAAAAAGATTCCGCTATAATGGGATAATGTGCCAGATATAGTGCCAATCCAATTCTTCTTCTTTTTCCTGAATAATAATAAATATTTCAGTTTATATCCATAAAGTATAGGTATATGTAACATAAACAATTATTATATATATATTACAATAAATATCATAAAATTAATTAAACTGTATAGAATATTTACACTGTCTTTTTGAACAAAGTATCCCAATTTCTCTCCACAAAAGAACTAATGTCGGATTTCCAATGAAAGTATCCTCTTTTGCTGATACCGCTTGATTTTTCACGTAGATTGTAAAGTGTCAAAATAATCACATTGAGCCATGGCATTTTATCGCGTACAACCATTTCTTCCTCTAACGGATTGCAAGAAGCACAATTAAAGTCGAAGAAGACATCTCCTATAAAAGAAGCTGGAACGCTGCCTCTTTCTAAGCATTCTATGTGTACTTTTCTGTCACATCCTCCACTGCAGTGCAACATTGGTTTATCGTAAGGATTGCCTGCTTTTCCACACTTTTTGCAATATTCCGTGATCTTGGTCTCATTCTGTTCTTTTAGATTTGTCGTGCTTTCCTCTTCAATAATTTCTGACATTTTATTCTCTTAAATAAATAACAAATAAATTGAAGAGAGATTTACTTAACCTAAGGCACTAGATATGTAGGTATTCTCATCCGCCATTTTGGTTCCTACTAGATGGAGAATTAGGCCGGCGTCACATAGAACCCGTAATCCGTAATCCGCACCGAAAGTCCGCAAAAGTTACTAGGGATTGCGTCCGTAACGTTACGTGTGTTTTATCTCCTTGTGTCCCATGGAGCCGTAATTCCATGAAATTTCCGTAAAAGTTACTAAAAGTTACTAGTTATTACTAGTAATGCTTTTTTTAATTTTATTTATTTAACTAAATTTGACGATTTAATTAAAATTTTGTTAAAATTATAATATATTCTGTAGTTTTCTTATGAATAAAATACAAATAAACAATTATAATTTGTTAAATAAAAATAGTAATACCGTTACGTGTGTATTTACGGCTCCATGGGACACAAGGAGAAAAAACATACGTAACGTTACGGACGCAATCCCTAGTAACTTTTGCGGACTTCCGGTGCGGATTACGGATTACGGGTTCTATGTGACGCCAGCCTTATATAGCGTTTTCGAGTAAACGGGGTTTGAACGACCCAAGATTGGTTAATGACGTCATTGCAACCTCTCCACTAATGAAAGACTTGCATTCATAGTAAAATAGTGATTGATCAACCCTAGATCGTTCAAACCCCGTTTACTCGAAAACGCTAATAGCGTATATAGTATAGTATAGCGTACATGTGTAACACGTCAATTATTAAAAATGATTCAGGACTTTTTTCGACTCATTTTTTGGCAAGGAATAACGCTATGTACTTAGTGGGCAGTCTTTGGGTGTTTACGATAATTCAAGTTCGAGTTAGTTTCACTAGGACCGACAATGAGATATACATAACCATCTAGAACCTTTATGATTCATGACAACTCAACGCTGTCTTGTATTGCTTGAGTTAAATTCATTGAATTTGTTGAGTTTAATAAATATAATTATATACATATATATATAATTATATCTATTAAAGAGGTATACCAACATACATACCAACATTATTTGTTTCTTTCATAGACTGATTTGCAGTTAACCTTTTTTTATTACAATAAAATTTGCTCTATAAACTCAACAAATTCAATTAATTTAACTCAAGCAATACAAGACGTTGAGTTGTCATAAATCATAAAGATTCTAGATGGTTATGTCTATCTCATTTTTCGGTCGTAGTGAAACTAACTCGAACTTGAATTATCGTAAACACCCAATGAATTTAACTCAAGCAATACAAGACAGCGTTGAGTTGTCATGAATCATAAAGGTTCTAGATGGTTATGTATATCTCATTGTCGGTCCTAGTGAAACTAATAGCGTTTTCGAATAAACGAGGTTTGAACGATCTAGGGTTGATCAATCACTATTTTACTATAAATGCAAGTCTTTCATTGGTGGAGAGGTTGCAATGACGTCATTAACCAATCTTGGGTCGTTCAAATCCTGTATTATCGAAAACGCTATAACTCGAACTTGAATTATCGTAAACACCCATAATCGATAAAAATAATGGCACTAATAAAACTCACGTAAAAAATTGTAATTCTTGGAAAATTAATAAGCTTATAATTACTCACTTCTTTTCTTCTGCATATTTTTTAACGTACAACTAAATCATATCGAAACCATACGAATTATTTTCCACATAAATCTAAATAAATAAAATGCAATTTAAATCTGCATAAGTCACAATAACGTTTCGTGATCCTTGCGTGAATTAGTGCATGCTTTTTTAATTAGTCAAGAATTGAAATAAAGTGTAATTTTCAGAACGTGCTTCTATTCATAAACTGCAAGATTGCAATGTTAAGTAGACCATAGTATGTTCTGTTAATTTTGATGTTTGCTTCAATTTTTTTATTACATGTTTAGCATACATTCTATAAGATAAGAGTAGTAGTTTTATATTAAGAATGCACATTTTATGTATCTCAAAAAATATGACAAAACTCGCTTCTTTCTTTTATTTTAAACTATGAAATATGTATGTACAACACTAATCATGTATACAAGATAACTATACCGTTTAATTATATGCGCGTAAACTGCGTGTGTGCGCTTATCGATTCATCACCTGTGTTACATATTGATTTTTTATAGCTCACGTAAGACTTTTTACTGCTTAGCTGATTTTGTCTCTTCCTAGTTTCTTTATTACAGATATCACATTCCATACAGCACACATATCTAAAAGATGTCCAGAAGACATTCCAAAGATATTTTTGAAAGATACGATATCTTTGGAATGTCCTCTGAACATCCCCCGGATATGCATGCTGTGTGGGATTCTTTAATCATCTGATACTAAAACAAAATGATTTCCAATAACAAACATTAACTACTTTAAGGTGCAAGTTATATATTTTTTATTGTAATAACAATTTAAATAATTAATTTATTACTTAAAAAGAATTATTAAAAGAATTATTAATCTATATCGTCGTTTTTATTAACTCTATGTCAATCAAAGGTCAATAAGAGAATCTTGTAAATAATTATTATAGTAACATTATAATTAGCTTTTATCGAAATATAGTTTATTGTAAGAATACTGTATAAAATATATTGATTGAAAGATGGTGTCGAATAAGAAGTTTTGGTACATTTAATATTTTTAACAATATTACCATCAGATTGATAACTTATTGCTAATTTCAATTTCTATTTCGTGTATGTTTGGGAAAAGTTAAAATAGATAGTTTCTAAAGATATGGTAGAGTAATCATCAAATTATTAAAAATAAAATGATTTTAGGAATGAACGAGTCAAAATAGTTAATTAAATCATACAAACTGTGTAGAATGGTGATCTCCTGTTTTGGCATTTATTCGTGCTAATATCATTTTACGACTGCGAGTCCTTAATGTTTATATATAACAACCATATATATATATATCATTTGGTCAGATTAAAAGAACTGCATGTTCATTCTTAGCTATGTTTTAACATTATGCATGTCAATCCATATTAACATATTAGATAGTAATCACAACAGTTTAATCTGCCTGATTTCAATATATCGCTCATTGAATATAAATACAAATTTAATACAATTAAACTTTTTTAAATATATATTTAAATGTTTAAAATTGTTTAAATTTGTTTAAAAAGTGCCGCGTCAAATTTATTTAAATATGTCACGTGTCTATCAATAAGTACATAAAAAACAGATGTAAGTAACTCGATGCTTTCTTATTCATTGAGAGCAGTTGAGGTAAACAATTCATATCCGAGATAAAGATACCTCGTATATATTTATAACAGATAAAAAAATTTACAAACATGTCTAATCTTGTAAAATGACTGATATATGTTTAAATGCAGGTACTTTTCTGCATGACGCATGTTTTAAAAGTTCCTATTCTTACATAATTAAAAGAGCCTCTTCTCATACGAGAATAAGCTGTGTACATTGCCCTCTTGTTGAGCCGAAGGCGTTCTTCTTTCAAATTTTAGTCCCCCGCTATACATCATAGATCGCAAGATGTTAAGTGATCTCGCTCCGATATCTTGACAGCCGTGCTTGATACCGCACGTTAAGTATGGTAAAAATTTAAGCACCGAACCCTTATCAACTATAGAACCGCTAACGCCCTGCGCTACCTTCAGCTTGTCCATTTCGTTATGAAAATATCTATCCATCGCCGAACCCTTGGAATCTTTCCTATCCATGGCTTCTAATGAACCCATTCCTCTGTACTTTTTAAGCCGGACTCCATCGCTAAAGAAGTATTCGCCTGGGGCTTCCGACGTTCCAGCCAGCAAGGAGCCCATCATGACGGTGCTAGCGCCTAAACTGAGACCTTTGATGATGTGTCCGATAGATTGAATACCACCGTCCGCTATAACCGGCACTCCAAATTTTCTGGCATACTCGGAAACTTTGTAGACGGCTGTCGCTTGTGGCCGTCCCACAGCCATCACCTCTTGCGTTATGCAGATAGATCCGGAACCCATTCCGACGCGTAACGCATCTGCTCCCGCTTCTACAAGATTTTTGGCTTGCATCGTAGTCACAACATTGCCTGCAATCACTTGTAGATCCGGATATTGCAATTTAATATACTTAATCATGTCGATTTGATACATGGAATTGCCCTGGGAAGAATCTAATACCACTACATCTACACCAGCTGCTACGAGCAATTCTAATCTATGTTTGTCCGCCTCACGCGTTCCTATCGCGGCTCCTACCAGTAATTGCTTGTTCTCATCCTTACTGGCACTTGGGTAACTGCGATTCTTCTTCAAGTCAGTTCTTGCCATCAGAGATACAAGTTCACCTCGCTCATTCACAATAGGAAGCTTGCCCTTCTTCGATTTCTCCAAAATAACGTTTGCTTCTTGCAGTGTCACACCAGCTGGTGCGGTGATTAGATCTTCTAAGATTGTCATTATTGAACTAAGCGTTTTACTTTGATAGGAAGGCAAAGGTTCGAGGAAATCGATATCTCTGGAGGTGACAATGCCTAATAGTTTACCGCCAACTTTACCCGTGTCTGTGACAGGCACTCCGCTGAAACCATTTTCAGCTTTCACGTTCAAAACATCATTGACTGTATGATATGGCGCCAACACAACTGGATCTCTGATGAAACCATGCTTGTATTTCTTTACCTATAAATAAATCAAATATATATATATGTGCATGTATAAAGACAAACGTTTAATAAGATTTATATATAGTGATAATATATAACAAAGCGCGATATTTTTAATTTGTATTATGTACAACGGAAAATTTTAGAAATTGTAGCTTAAATATGTTAGTTACTCCGGGCTTAAAAACGATCCGTTAAGAACGGATTTGCTCTAAAGTACCTTATGCACTTCGTTGGCTTGATATTCGCCGGTACAATTGTGATGTATGATGCCAATTCCGCCGCAAAGGGCCATAGCGATTGCCATGTCCGATTCCGTGACGGTGTCCATAGGAGAGGACACGAGTGGTGCCTTCAGCACGATCTTCCTTGTTAACGGTGACAATAAGTCGACTTCCTCCGCCGTAAAATCTATATAACCTGGCAAGATGATGAAGTCGTTGTAGGTGAGACCGTCACCCGCGGCGAATAACTGCGCGGCTGACAATCCATCGTCTGGCAACGGTATGTCTGCTGGTTCTGTATTGCCTAACACGTAGTCTGCCATAATTTTCTAACACTTTTAAGTATTTAATTTCTTTTAATCGCAGATTTGTAAATTTGATACACCGCAGTCGCTTCCTGCTGCTGTTATCCGCACTTCGATCAAGTTGTTCTTGAAGAAACGAGATTTAGAATACCAAAAACACGCGTCCACGTGCGCTCTAAACCACCTCGAAGAAGCCTGAAGAAGCCGCCAGACGAAATGACCGAGTGCGAAGCATGCACGATATCTTTATTCACTAGACGGCGACGCCAGAGCCGCTGATACCACAACAGCAGATTTTTTATGTAAGCGCGGTAAATTCAACAGTCTTCGATTGATATCCAAAAATATCCAAGAGCAATATATTAAAGATTAATAAAAATAAACAAGTGTTAATTATAAGTAATTGAATAATTTTTGCTTTTTAAGTGTTAAATATATTCGATTTTAGTATTTTCATACGTAAAATAAATCTCTTCTTTGCTCTAAAATGTTCTTAATCATTTCCAATTATAATTATCTTTCTGCAATATATCGAAATTACACGGTTTACTATCTTCTGTTCTACTTTGCATTATTTACATTAAAATCAGTGAACACAAGACTATGAAGAAGACAAGAGCTAATGTTTGATTTAAATCCCAAAGAAAGTTTAATCGCAAATATATAATCGTATATAAACATTCACATCACGTATACAATATGCGTGTGTATGAAATATCATTAGAAAATATAAAGAATTCGATGTATATAGAAGAGACATAACTCACACAAAACATAGATGGGGTATAAGCGCGCGTGTGAATAGGAACAAGTAGCGAGACATGTAGAGTGGCGTTAACTCGCGGATATGCATTCAAATAACGTCATTACATTTCCCACACGAACACTGAAAATGACACAAAACTGCAGAACGCTTGACGCGTGATTTTCACGGATTAACACATAATGCAGAGCGCAAGTTTCTACGAAATTTAGCGAGTTTTCAAATAAGCGAGAGAGAAGTTACAGCTTTCGGTCAAATCTTACTGGGCGTAGAAATACTGTATTCAGGACCTCGACAATGCCGCCGAAGGCTTCCCCGAATGACGCCGTGACGTACTGCAGCGTCAGCTCGAGGTAACTCATGTTCTCGTAATCGTCGTGTTCCTCGTCAAAGAAATAGTCGTACATTATGGGCAGAAATATGATCGCAACGTACATCGTGATACCAAGCAGCGCTAAAAGTATTTCATATTTTCATCTTCGAATAAAAATAATTAACTCTATTGTTATTCATTTATGTATGATCCAAACATAATTTACATACCTATAGTTTTAAGTTCGAGCGGTCGTTTGCTCGTCTGCTTCGTCCTTTTTCGTTTCTTCGCAGACGACAATCCGAAAATGTTTTCGCGCACATTGGACGCTACATTCGTCGCCGGATCAGAAAGCGATTTCTTATCGACAGTCGTTGAATCTCGAAGCGTCGTATTGATCATGCACGAAAGCAGGGAGCATTGTTGCAACGTTTGAGATTCGGGCGAACGATTCTGCAGTTTGTTTGCATGTTCGCCCGCGGTGTCCGGCTTAGTCAGCACGAGCTTACGCTTGAGTTTCCTGTAATACTCCCAATAATTTTTGTTCAGCAGTTCCTGAGTCTCTAATGGAATGGACGATAGTCTATCGAATGAGTTATCCGCTGGCAGATTCGTCAACGAACGAGAGTTTATTCGACCCTGTTTCAGCGCGTAGAACTTGATTCGTATAGAATTCGTGCTGGTTATTCTGCTTCTTCTATTTAATAACTGACTTACCTTTAAACGACCGCATGTCTTTTCGTACTGTTTACCTCGAATGCGACGTGGACCGGGAAGTATCAGAGTGCAATTGGAATCTACAATCGCCAAACGGGATTTCTTCCGAAAGAACGACTTTGCCTTCCTCGACAGATTCATGGATGCCGTTTTATGCTTCAAGCTGCCGCACAGCTCCTCGTGTTTCTCCTTACTTTCGTTATTTCTTTCACCCTTACCTTTAACTTCGCCAAATGCTAAGCTTTGTATATTTTTCTGCAGCGTTTTATCTGTTACATTCATCGAAGATTCATTCGTATTGATTCGCTCGTCTTTTACGATTCTTTGGTTCCTCGAATGTGCCAAACTCTTTTCACTCGATCTTTTCCGTTCGATGCAATCGTCGACACACGAGTTTGTATTGCATTCTTTTCCGCCGACAATGTTCAATCTTTCAGCAGCATTTAGATTCGACGAGTTTTCATCATTCTTCATATCGTCCATGTTATTTGTTGTATTAAAATTTGTATGATTCCTGGACACTTCGTTTACGGTATTTCTGTTCAATATGTTCTCTTGATCGGTAATGCGTTCGTTACAATGTGAAATATTTTTGTTATCATCGCTGTTCATCACATTACGCTGCTGAATACCTAAAAACGATAACATTTCAGTTATCTTCATCTCACGAATGAGATACACATTATCGAACAATTCATTACTACTAAGATATTCTTTATCTCTAGATTCCTTGGAGTTACACGTTGAATTGGTCAATGTATTCGACACTGCGCACGTATTCTCGACAGTTTCTCGTCTCTTCACATTATCGCTTTGACATTCTGGTATTTTAACATTCTCCGGAATTTGTGTGGAAATATTCGGTATTTGTAAAGGTACATTGCAGTAGGTCACTACAGGAATTTGTACGCTATAACATTGCAGTGGCTGTGCGGGAGTAGCTTCTATGTTGAGAGTATTGATAGGCAAAGCGTGTATCTTTTTCTCATCAACCATTAAAAGCAGCGGCTTATTAGCTTCCTAAACATGTAAACACGTAATAAAAAACGCGCTCTTAATATGCAACACCTACAATTTCCATCTATAAATAGAACTTTGCTCACTTGTTTTTGTTGACAGAATCGACTTTCAATGTCACATCGCTCATCAATCACATATTGATTAGCTGTAATAAATTTAAAGTCGTTAAATAATTAATCGAGTAATTTGATATGCACAATTTTTACAATAAGCTTTGCATATATAATTACCTGCTACACGATTTGTTTCTGAAATAGATTGCTCCTTAGTGAGACAATCAGTGGTTTTCTTCATCAATTTTACCACACTCTCTGATAACTTATCTACATCATGATGGAGCAGAGATGTACAGTTGTTCACATTTTTATCTATTTTCTGCAAGTTATCTTCAAATTTTTTATTTTCCTGCTGATTATGTGTATCTGATTCTGACATTTGTTTGTCATTCTTCATGTTACACGCTTCATCTGGTTTCTCAGCCTTATCTCGCGATATCTGTCTGTATTACATTACAAATTATGTTACCATGGCATGTTGATGACCAAACAGATAGAAATCATGAGATAATGATATAAAAGCACGCAAACTATCATCTTGCACACTATGTAGAATTGAGAAACATGTCACAAAGCAAAAAATTTTAATGTAAAAGTTAATTAGAATCTGATACCTTTTAAAACGCGGATCATTATAACTAGATAATTTTCTCGGTATGTGTGTGGGGACTTCATATTTTTGGCAGCAAACCGGTTTGGCATGTCTAAATTAAAAGGAAAAGACAGGGCAATTCAAGAAGATGTAGACTCAGACATAGTACATTAAATTACTTGAAAAACTTACTTATACGGAATAGTTTGCACTGTACTGCGACTTTTTCTAGGAGTTCCAGTCACAGTGATCATATATGGAGGTTTGATAATGTCATCGGTATTGTCGGATAAGCGACGTGGAGGTATCTTAGGCCAAGATGGATCGGAAGGAAGCCTAATTGAGAGTATTGTGATGAAATCAAACAAGATTCTGCTCGTTTGCCAGTAATTCTAACGCAATGAAAACATTATGCCTACCGTAAGGTGCCGATATCACATTTTTCCGAAATCGCTGATAAATTTTGTCCATTTACTAAAAAGTGTACGTTAAAACGGTATCATTTATTGTTCTTCCACGATAATTTTTGAATATTTACCTTTTATATGCAGTTCAAGTGCACTTGTCCCGTCATTATGCGCCATATCACGGAATAAATAATTCAAAACATTAGAATTCCTCGTAAAACGATGTGTTCGGCCACGCTAAATCATTAGATCGGAACTTGATATATTACCTAGAAAAATGTACGCGACACAATTGTGCACGTCAATTACATGTTTCTTCAACATCGAGCGCCTTTTCTGTGACCGAGTTATAAATTGTTTTGTTTGTCGGGAGTCAATTGTCTCGGAATTGTTCTCCGCATTACCGTATCAATGTGAACACAAATGATTGTTACGGATTATACACTTTATTATTACATAATCTTTATATTTATATAATATGTAAGTTTAACTTAGGGCATAATATTTACACCGAATATACAGTAAACATAGTTATAGCCAGTCTTGAGAGAAAGAGACGGAGACAGAGAAAGAGAAGAGATTGGAACATTTTCAAAATCTCGAGTACGAGATTACACATCCGATTTTACACCCGATAAATATGTTAGCAAACATCTCTACGCTAGACATATAACCGAAGGTGGAAAGTATAGTCTGCTTATGCGCGCGACATAGGCCAACGCATAAATTGAACTTCAAGTCTGGTTATAACATTATTACAGGAACGATCATTCGATCACTACTTAACGATATTCTCTCTATTAATTGTGGTAATGTTAAAGTATGTTCGCGCACTGTATTTATTGTTATATCACATCACATCGTTAATCTAACATTGCAACTGTCCCTCTTTGATTTTCTTTTACACGTCTTGTTTGTCAAAGCAGTTGGTAATTCTCTTTCCTTCCTTTTCTCTTTTTTTTTTTGTTTGTATAGATTACTGATACCATGTTATATAGATATATAGGTCCTGACATGTTCTTCTCTGATGCAATGTCAGAAAACGTACTAATAATAAAAATACGATATAATATAACGCATCATTTAATTTAGTTGAGATCAATCGAGATGTATTAATTCTTCGAAGGTCGAACGTGAATGTTGCGATTTTTTCTACGGATGAAAAATATGGATTAAATTTCGCAACTGCAGAAGAACACTTCTTTTCTATCTTATTTTCACTTTTACACACTTGTTATACGTTCATAATTTCGAATAATTAATACCTTTTTCGATAACCGCGAGCTTTGAAGTCGATTAAACACAGTTCATTTCACAGTTCTTATTTCACACATCTATCCTATCTAGACTTTGTAATATCTTGTTGATATTCGAACACAATTTTGTAATACTTGTGCGTATTAATTATCGAAGCAGCAGAAATTAATTAGCAAATGATGTAAAACCGACTGCAATTGCTATTTATTATAGGAGTTGCAATTGTTGAATGAAATCGTGAAATTGAATTTTGGACTACGAGTTTGGAATACGAGTTGATAGATGTGCTTTGACTAGATGAAATATAATGTAACTTTGAATTATTGTTTTTTCATCGAATATAAAACTTCAATCTCATCTCACTGGACTTCTTACTCTATGAAGAACTTCTTTTTTTTTTTTACTATCATCAAATTTTTAATTGGTCCAAAGCATTCCTTTTTTCACTAATTTTTACTTATTAAAACTATATTTTATATCAGTTTATAATACTTTTGTCTAAAATTAGCCAAATACTAGAAACAATAAGTACAGAATGTGCTAGGTATATCCTTATAGCGTGTAGTAAAATGTCTCCGATAAGTTATTCATTCATCAATCATCAATTACAATGATGTAAAGCTTTAGTAGCATAAAAAATATTACCGTTTAGGAAACGTATAATCTCATAAACGAATATTTCTTTGATTTTAACCAACTCTTATCACATACTATATACAGATTTTGGTGAAGACACTGAATTTCTTGCTTTGCGAACCCAGTTGCAGGGTACATAGCGCAAGATTTAAATTGTATAGTCTCGAAATGATAATTACCAGAGCCTAGTTCATGTTTGAAAGCGATGTTTGCTTATAAGATGAATTGGAAGTCGATTGTGTATCATGCAATGTAGTAAAAATTACAAAAGTGAGCAAATTTACTAGGTTATTGACCAATAAGGTCATAGATACTTTAGTAAATTTGCTCACTTTTGTAATTTTCACTACATTGCATGATGCACAATCGACCCCCTGATGAGAAATGCAGAGAGGTAGTTTTAGAGATGCATGAATAGACTTGAACAAACAAAGCATTTCATTTGTCGTGAATTGATCCGTAACGGTTATTGTCCGGCAGTAATATCGTTTTATGATGCTTAAAGCGATAGATGCGCTTGGAGAAAGATGAAATCTTGATTATCATTGTATCACCGTGTGATGTAAAGCAAGTGACACCGAGACGTTTTGAATTAAAAGAATTGTTTTACGGCCTGTGGAGCCGCGTACTACACTTTCAAATAAATACCTCGAGAACCTATATAAAAACTTGCCTGTTAATCAAATCGTTCTTACTACGATGACGTATGTTAACACGAAGTATTTTACCGTGTTCGCGCGATTCTCTCGTTATTGTCTTATTAAGCTTCATGATCACTGCTGTCTATTCCTATTAAGGACTCTGTCTGCTCTGCTTCGAGATCTGGGATTCTGAAAATAATAATAACTTCCCATATATTTCACATATATTTAATACATGTGACATAATGTTATTCTAATCAGTTATTCCAAACTTATAAAATGTTATTGTAATTAATGCATGCATTGCTAATTCATGCGTTGTTCGACTACATCTACGTGACACATGTACACTTTACCTCGATCTGTTCTTTCTGCAAATCCAGATATAAAATCTTTTTATTAAATCCATAACAGGATCCCAATTATCGTAATAAGATAGAAGAGATACGGTCAGAAATGCTAAGAGCATTGGAATACTACCCAAGTAGAAAATACAAGGGTATTCTACTTTTTTTAGGAGGACATCGGCTACCATTGACATGGGCATTGTTAAGCTCAAAGCCATTGTTGCTATGAGAGACGATGTCAAAAAACAACCCCTGCAACAGAACGTAATCATGTTACGGAAGTTTCTACATATTATTGCTTTATGTAATGATATATTAAATTCCAGTAAAATTACCATAGCCAAAGTACTTCGCTTAAAACTGTACCAATCAGGCCGTTTATAATTAGGAATGTCCATTGATGACTATCGGGCCATTCAAATTCTTCCCAATGACCATAATGAAGAATAAAGAATAAAGGCCACAGTAGCGTCAAGTTGAATATTCCCACGAAGCCGAAAAACATTGGTATATCCATCTTGTCTTCATGATCCACTTTCCTCTTCAAAAATACAATATATGCGGCATAGAAAAAAGCACTGACTAGAGCTAATATTATGCCCGTTGACACGCTATTGCTTTGTACAGTTAAACCCGAAAAACTGACCAATATCTGTAAGTAAAGAAAATATTTTTCGATATATATCGCATAATATGTAATTCACTAATAAAAAGTATTTTTTGTTTACTTTTAGCGGCAGAAGGGTATAAAATCAATACAAGTTGCACTTTGTCTCTAAGCTAGAGAATTTCCTGTTTCCATATAATTGTAGCAAACTTGCAACTTACTAGTCCAAAGATGCTAACAACTACAGCAGCTAGCTTGGACAATGAAAACTTGTCCCCTCCGTTACTGGGAAAAAAAGCAGCAAGGATTAAAGTGAATAAACTAGATGTCGAAGACAATATAGTCACGATTCTCGCCTCTATTTGCTCCAATGATATTTGGTATGTGTAATTTGCCATGAACCACTGAAAGAATATCATATCAACAATATATATTAATGTTGACACACAGCGATATTAATTGATTGAATTTTACACTATATACTCACAAATAAGCAAAACATAAGAGCTATTTTAGCTACTTTTTGTACAGAAAATTTGTTAGCCTGTCTCCTTGCATGTTCTCCAGCTCTCACACTGGCTTGATAACTAAGTCGCGCTAATAGAGCTTCTGTGGCATCGCTTTCCGACATATGGCGCACTTCCGCTAGTTTACTAAATCTTACAGAGCGGATAGATGAATCATCACTTTCTGTGCCTGATGAACGATCGCAATGATCCGGAGTTTTTATTGGAACAAATGTTGGATCACTCTGTAATAAAATAAATGATTGTTATTATATGTGTTAGGTTGTTATTAGATTAGTAGCTATACATTTTTATCACTCTTAATGTATAACAAATAAATCCAGTTTATTAATACAATAAATCAGTTTTTTTAAACCAGCAATTCATTTAAATGTATATATGATATATTTAATCTAATATATATACAAATTTTAATTTTCTGCAATAATTTCATACTTACTAGACTCGTATTGGCTTCCGAATAGAAGTTGTCATCTTCAACATTAGGGTCTATAAACTGAAAGCACAATAAAAATTTAAGAAAGATCAGAGAAAAGAAGAAAAAGATAACTTGCATAATTCAATACATACCATATATGTTGCAGGTTTATTACATTGTTCTCGCCAAGGTGGCCAAAAGCACAATCCAAGCAAATAAAGCGTAAACATGGATGTCCTTACATATGTACTAAAAAAGGGTTTTTCAAATGTTGCATCCCTATAAATGTACTGAAATAGAATACGTTATCTTTGTATCATTATCACATATATAACAATAAAAGACTAATAATGAATGAAATCATAAATGACAAATCTATGTAATATATAATGCAAAGATAAAAAAAATTGCAATCATACAAAACTTAGTTGTACTTTGGTAAGCTCAGAGCTGGAGACCCAAATTATGTCAACCAGTAATAGAACTAAAAGTCCTAATACGAGTCTTTGAGATTTATTCATCATCGCAGCAAGTTTATGAGGATCCTCCGCCATCCCTTGTTGCCTGCGCTGACGTAATTCTACAGAACAGCTCATCTTGATTCTTTCACCCTTAGACTCCCTTAAATATACTTGGATTTTTTTGCTTACGTTGCAATTGCATATTTATCTTTCTAAAACCATGCAATGTGTTAAATAGATGTTGTGATTTGAACTAAATACATATTGTTTATAGTATATATATATATATATATATATACATATCTGTAATCACAACTATGATAGTTACCAGGTAAACATAGGAATTAATTTCACGCACTCTGCGTCCACTATTCCTATGTCAGTATATGAAAATGCGAATGCAGAGCAAGGTGCTCGCATTAACAGATGTCGAAGAGCGATAAGCAAATTTTTCCAATTTCTTTTCAACGTCACAATGATGAGATAACCTAACCCTAACCGGCTGTTTGCAGCCGCGGCCCTCAGCCAATGTCGATTCCATACCACATCGTCTTGATTATCAAGTCTCGTATACGTTCCCGTAACTCGTGCACTTCCGGGGAACGCAGTATTGCGGTTATCGGTCGCGTATTGAAGCTGCAATTCGTATAAGCCACCGCGTCGTAGCAACCGCCTACATCTTGGAACGCTGGCACCAGATAACAGGTGTGTCAGTGTTATCACGTATTGATAGTACTGTCACAACATAGCAATGTCGTTATCGATGCGCATAATGTCTCCCTTCCTCTTTCTTTGCTTGCCCTTGTCGTTGGTTTTAAAAAAATCTTGACGCACGTCTGTTTACAAGGCAACCGACTTTTAATATTTCTGTTTCGTTTCATCTGCTCGTGTGGATTAGACAAGGTTCAAACAATATTCCGATTCGGCTTCTTTGCGCATGTGCGACGAATCGAGCATCAGTGAAGTACTTATATCGTACGAAAAAAGTACTTTAAGTACGTTCATTAGTTTGTGCCTAACTTTATTTAATATATCAGACTTCACATTTTATATATAATTGATAATATTTATATTGATTTACTTATCTATATTTTTTTTCTAATTTTATTCTCTCTGCCAGTGCTGCCAGTCGGGCCGGGTTGCCCCTCCAGTCCCTTCCAAAACCAGGCTATGCCCAGTAACGTATTGTAAGCGTACGGATCCCAGTAAATATAAATCTAAATTTTATTTTTTTGATAACACAGATTGAAGACTAAATTTATGAAGAATAAGATAGGATAAAAATAATTATTTAAAAAAAGGAATAGGATGAGAATAATTGTAAAAAACATTCTTGTATAATTATAAAGAAATACTTTATTTGGCAGAAATTATTAAGAATAACAACATTTGTTGCAAGGGTAAAAAAAACTGCCAAAAACCTTACCAGTATCTGTCTGTTCACTGGGATTGTGCCAAAACTGCACCCACAACACGTTACTGTGGTTACCATGGTTACCGTGCGCGCGGCCTAGCCGTTGGAGGGGCAACCCGGCCCGACTGGCAGCACTGCTCTCTGCTTGTCAGAATTGGCCAAAACTTTCACGAATACATGCCGCGTTGGTACACGCTATTGCATCATGCGCAAAAAGCCGACTCTTATTGGAACACTGACATCTCAAATGTAATATTGGCGCGCTTGATACTAAAGTGGCGACATCATTCGGTCTCATTCGGTTGTCATAGCAATTAAAGAAGGTAACAATCTCGTTTCTTCAAATAATAGCGAAAAATTAAACGGATGAGCGTAAAAAGTGCATCAAAAGAAAACCAACAATAGTAAAACTATTACGAGAATAATGGCAAATGATGTTCTTAGCAACGGTCGTTTAGCGGAAAGCGCGGTTGTACAACGGACAAGACACGACAGAGGCAAAAAAGGTATCAAACATCGTCACCATTAAAGCACAAGTGTATGCGTGACTTCGACTGAAGCATGAATCATCGATAAGCAATCGAATAATTTGTAATAATCAAATGTCGCATTGCATAAAATCTCTTTATTGAAGATAATAACATAATAACATTCGTCATTCCTTACCGTTTGTTGTTCGGCACAGCTCCAGATATACCAGCTATAGAAAGCCGCAACTGGTTATTACATCGGCATTATATTCGACACGAGTACAGCGCCTGTAAGCTTCTTATCGAACAAGAATTAACAAAATCAGATGGCCACGAATACGCGAATTACTTGAAGGTGAGATCAATACATCAATATAGATTAATGTAAACAATTTCAATTAAAATACTTTTACTATATATATGTTATATTATTCTTGATAAATTAGAAATATACTAAGAAAACAATTTCGAATTTTAAAAAATTAATTGAAAGGATTATTTGAGAGAAAATTCAAGTTTCCGTTTATAATCGTCTTATATAAATTTGTATCGTCATATATAAATTTATTTAACAATTTTTTTTTTTATTGTGTTGTTATTCTCATGAAGCATGTACAAGTCGTTTTATTCTCATAGGGTTTAATTCTCAGAAAAGAGGGCAAAATTCAAGATTCGTTAGATTGTTTTCAGACCGCATATAATGTGAATTCGACGAACATTGATAATGTTAAACAGATAGCAAAGTCGTTGTAAGTAGTATGGGTGGGAAAGGAAGTTGTCCAGTAATTTAATACACAATACGTGATAATTTTGCCCCGCTTCAGATTAATAATGGGAAGTCATAAGCGCGCGATAGATGCTTATACGGAAGCCGAGAAGATATCGGCCCTGCCGGATTGGGAGATATATTACGGTCTAGGCAAGTTATTTAAAACTTTATATCTATATCTAGTATATCTCGTGTAATGCATTAGCTAAGTTTTATAAACTTGCAAATGCACGTGCTACGAAATTCTCTTTAATTGACAAAAGTGCACTTTAGCTTAATACTATGTGCATGAATAACTTTGCACTTTGCACACACATACATATAAGCTTGTGCGCTACACTGTAATATAAAACGCCATTTCCTTTGTCGAGAACACTTATCGTTTCGTTTCAGGCGAGGCTTACATAAAATTGAATCAGTTACAAGAAGGTAAGAAACATTTTAAGAAATCGACAGAATTAACGAAAAATGAGCTGCCCAATCTCGCTCTCGCGAGGCTTTACCTCTTAGATGACATGATTCCAGAAGCAAGAACTGCTTATACTGCAGCTTTGAAGTAAGTGATGTCAGCTGTATATATATGTGTGTGTGTATTGCGCAATTCTGGAAATACGATTTCTATTATAGTATGCAATTAAATCAACACAATACTTATCGTATTGTTTTTTTTTTTAATTGATTTTATCTTTATATTGCGAGTATTTTATTTTCCTTAACATCATTCTCTCCATCGTCGTTTTATTTTGACATTTCGGTATTAACCTCGATCGGTTTTTTTATCCAGCGGAAATCCCGAGAGCACCGACGCGGCAACAGAACTGGGTCTCTTGTATCTCAGGATTGGAGATACGCAACGGGCGTTTCAGCAATTTGGAGCAGCTTTGGCTCAATCGCCTAATTGCGTCAAAGCAATTTTGCCTATGGCTTATATAATGCAAGTGCGTAACATCCCTTCCTTTCAATATTCGAAAAATTGTTATCGATCAGCGGCTCATGCGCTCACGTCGGATAAATTTTCCAAAATCATCCACAGGTTGTGCGGAATATTGCAGCATGATTTTGAAAAATACAATTTCCGCTTTAATTATTTGCATGAAAATTAATTTTTAATTAATCGAACTTACCGTCTCGCAATTCATAAAGCGCTATTATTAAAGCATGATTTTATATTGCTTTACTAATGAAAATAACTGTAAGCGTATGTGTCATTTGTCGGGTTAAAATTTAATTACGAATTCCCGCTTTTACACGCGCAATTTGTTTCACTCTACTGAACAACAGTATTGTATTTTACAGAATCATAGAGAGTACGACGTAGCCTTATCAAAATACAAAGTAGCAGCACAAACTATTCCAGAGTCTTCAGCTCTTTGGAATAACATTGGAATGTGCCTCTATGGAAAACAAAAATATGTTGCAGTGAGTTTCTGTTCTATCTTTGTCACATTTTTTTCTCATTTTTTTCTTTGTTTTATTTTCGAACGTTGCTCCAAGCGCGATGATTCAGTTTGTAATAGACGACACGCATGTCTTAAAGACACCTGAAAGATGGCTAAAAGACGTTAGAAAAAAAAGGATGTTTTTTCTGGGATTATTCTCTAAAGGAGAAAAAGAGAGAATGAGAAAAGTAATGTTAATTCTTTAAATTAAATAATACACTATTGCAAAATTGCACGGGAGCGAAGCCTTTGTCGCTACGTTTGTGTTTTGCTATTGCTAACAAACTAGTATTGCTAAAATACACGGTCTGTAACACAATAGCGATCTGATCTGATTACAAAAAAAAGCCTGTAATCTGGTATTCGTCTCTGATCAGCAAATATCAACACTTTGATACAAAGCATTCTATCGCGTCACACATTGCGCTTTTTGCAGTGCGTTTCATCTAGTGTGATATTTTAGTGAAATATATTCTTGAATTATTTACAATGCAGCAGATGTTGATGCGAGAGTGGTAAAAACGTTCCGAAACGGAGTATTATAAATGAGAAAAGACGAGAGACAAGAAATGTCTGGGGAACACGTCGGAATGAAATGAGAAACAGCAGACTCTATAGTACCTTGATACCATATATTCCCGTTTGAAACGATAAATGTACTTTGAACAGTGCCGAGAGTACGGCAGAAAGCGAGATCGTATCGCGTAATGGCAAGAGAAATATATAGCACGCATCTCGCAGATTTTGCGAAAATCCATTTCCGTTATTAATATTGCAGGCTAAATAGCATTGCACATTGTACGATGCAAATTTTATCACAAAATTAAAACTGCATTATTAAACAATTGCATTATTATCATTAATATTGCTGCGGATAATCCACGATAATCACTAGAATTGTTGTTTAAAAAAAAGAGCGCGACGAGAGAGAGAAATGCATTTTATTTTTGCAATGTTTTTGCAGGCTATTAGCTCGTTGAAGCGAGCGCATTACCTGAACCCGATGTCCTGCGTCCCGTCTTGCAACTTGGGAATCGTTTTTCTTACCACTGGGCAGCCTGCATCAGCTGCGATTTATCTGTGCGCCGCCGTCAGCGCTGAACCAAAGAATCCTACGCCGTATCTGTTACTAGGTCGTAAGTTGAAAATTTAAAAAATTTAAAACAGCATTATTTTTCGTATAATTCTGCGTTTTTAAAACCATTTTCCATACCGCCGTGTATCCTCCATATAAAATATTACTAGCAATTATTAATGTAACGAATACTAGAAACGAGAATAATGTATTTGAGAAGAAAAAAAATTTTATTTGAAAAATTTTGTTCCCAGTAAAATATCGTTTGAAAGCGTTTTTTAAATACCCATGCTGAGAGAAATTCGTACTTTTAATCTGCCTGGGGTATATATTTATTAATTTCAGTGGCTTTGAAACGTTTGGACGATTTGGAGGGCGCTGAAAGGTCTTTAACAAAAGCTCATGCCCTAGCTCCTCAAGATCCACTGATATTGATTAACCACGCAGTGATTCTCGATGCTCGTGACAAACAAGCTAATGCTGCTGAAATTTTAACAGCACTCAATGACATTATGGCTGTTGTCGACGTCGATATACAGGTAAGAATTAAGGATTGTAACATATATGTGTGTGTATATGTGTTAGATATAAATGTTAATTAAATGACTATATGAATGTATCATAACATATAGATATCGCAAATGGCGAAAAAATTATCAAAGAAATTTCAACGCGAGAAAACAGAATTAAATAGCGCTCAAGAGCCGACGGACGGCAGTGAACAGCAGCGACAATTGAGCGCTGACGAAGTTTAAAAATCACGCTACTTGTTATGCGAAAGTATATATACTGACCGCACAGTTGTAACTAAATGTCTAAATTTAAATAAATAAACTATAAAAATGTCGGTATAAAATACTTTCTATTTCCATTTGATTGCTTTATGCAAATAAGGCACAATAAATCTACATTAATGACGCATGCTGGCATTTATTTATTTTTCACAAGCATCAAAAGGTATACATTTAGAAGAATACAATGAGATGTGAAATTGCAAAATTAAGTACAGAAATTGATTTTACGAGAAAATGCATGCATATAAATTAGTTATTAAAATTTATTTAATCTTACTGCACATATATATACACACACACAATTTTTTTAACGACATTGCTAGCAATAATTCTATAAAGGGTAAATATCTTGTATATAAATAATATATTTTTTTTTTCAAAATATTTGATTTAGTTGAAAACTGTTTAAACATTATTTTCCATTGACACACAATTGTTTATATCACAATAATTTTACGTATTTCATATTTAAATTTTATATTTTAAAAATAGACTTTAGTAATTTTATTGCATAAGACTTCTTTTGTGAATTCTCTATTAAACGTATGTACTTTGCACTTCGGTATGATGTTGGTGCTGTTGGCTTATTGGCCATTTTTTCATGATTTTCGGTTTGAACAATTGGCCGAAAATCATGCGAAATTGTCTCGACATAGAGCAATACAGGATAAAATTTATACTACCATTCAGTAGCGCTAAAATATCCATTACTTCTCCAAGTTTGTGATAACAATTTCGGAAGAAACAATTGCCTAAGACCGCGGAAAGCAGTCCCAGGACCCCTTGAGGAATCTCCGTCATGAGAAATAGCAGCAGCACCACTACCAGCATCCTCGTCGTTCGGTCAGTTCGTTTATCAAATTTGCTCACCCTTCGCGGGTACTCATCCTTCTTATCCTGAAACGATCCATTGTAATTCAGACCGCAGGTTCCGACTGATGAAGTAGGCTTGACAGCGCAATGATTGTAGCTCTTCAAAATTTGCTTTCTACCCTTCATCCTGAATGAAGTAAGAGGGTTGTTAAAGTAGTCGGACGAATGCGCGATACGTGCTGCATACATAATTAAACAAGCCGTCTTCGCTTTACCTGTAAAGGGCCTTTATCAGCCAACAGATGATGACAGTGAGAAGGACGCACGGCAGAAGTTTAACTACCACGCCGAGTACCCAGAAATTTAATTGGTACAAGAATCCTTTGCTGGCGGAATAATTAGCATCTACGTAGTATAGTATTTCCATGGCGCCTTTCTCATAAACGATCTGTCCTTTTATCTAGCGTAATGGAATTTAATTTATTTCAAATTGCACCCGGCGCGACTTCGAACAATACGTTACCGAACAATGCGGGAGTGATGTTTACTTACTTCGAATACGAAATAGCTAGGGACGCAGGCGAGGGACGGAACGAGAAAACTGCAGAACAGTGCTGTGGTGCAGCGTCTCCCGGTACACCAGGTGTGACTGTACTGTGGAAATCTGGCGTACACAACAGAGACACAGAGACAAATCATTTTTTTTCCCCCAAATACTTAAACAAATCGAGGACTAATTTGCCCGACGGCGACGATAAACTCACCTGATGGCGATGTATCTCCAAACGGCGAGAGTGAGCGTGAGGGCTATACTGATTGTGTGAAAAAGTTGCGTGAAGTGCATGTGAAACAGTACGAACACGGCCAGTTCGTACGGGAATATCCGGCGTTCCGGCAACACGAAGTATGTGTAAATCGCGAAGGGAATGTATTCCAGCATCACTAACACATCCGTCGTGGCCAGCCCCGTCAGGATACGATTTATGGGCGCCGCTCTCGTGTCTTTTCTGGTGAGCACGATGATATTCAACACATTGGTGATCGTGCCGAAAACGCATACGATCAGCGAAACGTAGCCGTGATAATTTTTGTACTTTGTCGCCAGATCGCGAATCACGCTGTCGCAGTAACAGGACTCTGTACCGCTTCCGTCGCTATTCCCATTTCCGGGAATTGGACTATCAGGATTCTCGATTCCGTTGCAATCACTTATCGTTAGATTATTCAGGCCGAGACTTTTGATGCAATCGATTTCCTCGTTGGTCAAATTCAGTTGCTCCAAAATGTAAGTGTAAGTAAAATTGTATGACATTTTGCTGAGCGACAATTTTGGAGGTACGTGTTCGATTACGTTCGATTGCAAGTGTTCACAAGCGCAACGACGCGCATTTCTTTCCGTTATTTTCACAATATTCGCATCTTTGATATAACGCGATTAGTTATCGGCTATCAAGACAAATCGCATGATTACCGTTCTACTTGACATTGAAATTATCCGTAATTCGCAATTAATTATGTTCCGCCGATTGCGATCGGCGAGTCGATCGTGCATTTATCAATTTTTCATCAATTAGTGGGATTGTCGCGAAATAGAGAAGAGGAATAAAGGCGTTAGCTTTCCGTTTAGCATCGGATGCACGTGTGACACTCGTTTATATCTGCCCGGAATTTAATTAAATTACGACGAGCGCTTTACGAATTTTGTTTCCGCTGCTGCGACAGTTCCGGTTTTATATCTCTCTTTACGCGAGTTTCTCTTTTTTCGCTCTTTTGACAAAAGAAATTAAAAGTCCGCAGAAAAGAAAGGAACGGTCTCACGGATGGAAGTTGTATATCTATATTTCTGTGCATCTGCGGGTATAGAAACCGGAGATTGCTCGAATTGTCTTATACGTACACACGTACGCGCGCGACACTTACGACACATGTAGAATCAATCGAACGATACCGTAGCATTTATTTGCATTGATTTGTTTCGGCAACAGGTTACCACAACGAGGCACACACTACCACGAGGAGCAAGTGGAGCTGGCCGGTGGTTAGTCACGCTGCTGGCAATGCTACTGGCGAAAATTCACGAGCATCCTTTACTCCCTCTCGACGTTTTCCTCTCCACCTTCTGAAAGAGCCTGCGCGCAGGACGTCGATGGTCTATAATGGTGTTTGTGCGTCTATTCACGCTGAATTATTGTGAATCAAGTCCGCCTTCTAGCCACGCTCGGCTGATTATTAAGCTCATTAAGGATAATGATTAAGAAATAATAATGCGGGAGAAAGAATTTTATTTTAATTTCAGTATACTTCTCTGCAGTATTATAATTTACATTCGGCTCGCAACGGAGTGTACGTGTCATCTGATTTGTGGGTTTCAATAATCTTATTGATATCAAAATATTACGGCAGTAATATTAATCTCACGCGGATTTTCCTGTTCTCCGAAGAGAAAAAGATAAAACTCTAGTAAATTGGATCCGCTGATCTCTTATTATAGCTCAACTGCGTATTAACGTCGAGGGATCTATCCCTCGGATAGGAGAAGGATTATCGTGCGGGAGAAGATGGCAGCGTAAGAATAATAAAACAATGAAAAAAAAAAAATTCTTCGTTACCGCACCCGACTCGGCCCGCTCGATAATTAGCGCATAGACTTAGAGCTCAACTTTCCGACGTGCAGCAACGCTGTTTTTAACCAGCCTCTCTCGTGAAAAAATGCTATTATCGCTACCGATAATCCCATTAACAGCATGTAGAAGGATGATTGCACGTCGGACAGATTGAACGGCACAAAGCCGTTCTCGTGATGAGTCAACTTCTTTTTCGCCAATAATCTTTTGGAAGCGATCAATTCTGCTGTGACGTGGTTCTCCCACAGCATCGGCAAACCGGCTTGATTCAATCGGCCGATCAACGTGTTCAGCCTTTCGCGTAGAATTGAATTTATTGGTAGCAAGTAGGACAAGTAGAACGCACCTGACACACAGATATACACACTGCATTAATATTTATATAGATAACGAGAATTACAAGCGTTCTCGTTATTTCTTTTGCCTTTTACGTAACGTTCATTAAAAAGAAGGAAAAATACATTCGTACCTGGGCATTCTTGTACGAGATGAAGCAACGGGCTGCCGTCTTCGTCGATAAATTCCTCGTTAAAAATCGGTTGGTGATTCTTCCGAATGAAGCCGGAAACATTGCGATAAGCAGCTATCTTCTTCACAGAGTTCTCACCGTATTCCAATTTTTTTCGCAAGCTTTTCATCACCGGCGTCGTATCGCTCTCGTTGCCGGAACCGAAGATGTCGGTTAAGCTGATAGAAGTCAGTAGCAAGGGTAGCCTCGAAGCGTCGAGATCCTGAAGACTGTCTATGTCCGGGTAATACATGTCGTGCGCAAAGCTGTTGTACAAAATCCCACTGAAGATCCCGACTAGGGTGACGTTTGCGAGGAAAATACCCGACAGTAATATCCTTTCGGCGTTTGTATCCGGCAATTTTTGGGGACAGCCGGCGTTCAGCAGAAACGATCGATACACCGTTGCGCGGAAACCCACTCTCTCCTTTCTGAAAGCAAATCCCATGCATCTTTAAGCTCCATTGTAGCTCTTCCCGCTTTCATTGAATCTAAGCGGGTGATTTGTAACACTAGTGTCTGAAATCAAACGCTATATACCTTCCCGGGGTGAAGGTTTGCAGGAAGCACCACATCACGCACATGACGATGTACGTCAACGTCGTGCCGATCCAAATCGAGAGCGGAAAGAAGTGATAGATACGAAGCCACTTGGGCACCTTGTGCGCTTTCGGAACCACCACGCACAAGCGGTCGAAGTCGAAGTAGACGGAGAAGTCCACGTCCTCCGCGCGCTGCAAATTGATGCTGTATTTCTTCACGAAAAACGACTCGAAGTAGATGTCGGCTCTACCGTGCACCACGTCACCTGTGCAAACCGCGCTGTGCATTATCGGGGGATGAAGTAAAAACATGAATTACGCGCGGAACGTTTAATACCTAGCGCACCGGTGTACGTCCCGTTGCTTAATTGATAGCCGAACCATAGGTTATCTGTCGGATCCATTATTTTCGCCGTGAAATTCATTTGCTGCGATATCGTTTTCAGCATAATTTCATCCAACTCTTTGAAAACATCGGAACGACTCTGCGAACTCGATTCGTTCTCTTTTTCCACCGTTTGCCCCTGCGTGAACATGCCGACTTTTAATTTGTATTCATTCATATTGCTCGTCCAACGGTGCGCTGAGCGCGATAGCATGCTGGCCGTCTCCTCCGCCGTTTCTACGTTTGTGATTTCAATTTTACCCCACGCTGAAAAATTATACCAGTTTTAGTATCTTCTTTTCTCCGTTCTTTCGGTGTTGCAAAGTTTCAAAGTGCGATAATGCAATTTCGTATCGAGTAATTTCGTGATTAACTTTAATGTTGCTATGTGTAGGATTTACAAACCAGAATCGTTAACTTTGGCGAACGGATTGTATGTGCGAACAACTTGATTAATTGGAATCGTGTCATTTACGAGAATTGTCTCGGAAACTGAAACTCTGTACATCTTACGCTCGGACCACAACGTCCTTAAGACATCATCGATTTTCGAGTACGACTCGACGCTCAGCGGTCCGTGGCTCTCGCAGCGCGCGATCAGCACGATAAATCGATCCTGCGCATTCCATTCGAATGTCGAGCCATTCTTTGAGATCTGTTCCAGGGAACGGGTGTCGCTCGTGAGAATTACGTGTACATTCCACGTGTTTCCGCCAAAGGCTTTGACGTTTCGCGCGTGGATTCTTTCGCTCGCCGATGACGGTGCCGGAGAGACAAGCGCGTCGCCAGAACTTCCTGCAATCTTCCAGATCAATGATCGTTCTATTGCTCTGCGAACAATGCTATTGTTGTCGACAAAAGATGTATTTCCCGCATCGCGAGGCACGTAGGTCTTCAATACGATCGTTGTCTCGCACTTTCGCGCGACGCTGTGCATAAACGCCTTCAAGCATCTCTCGAAAAGTGTCGGCTCTTTATTACCGCCGAGCACGCCGTGCAAATTCACGACTTTGGAATTCTCCATGGAGCAGACGACACTGCTCCAAAATTCCAGAGCGCTGCACCATCGGCTGTCATTGCTCGATGCCGCGTTCAGGAACAATAATGCCACGAGGGAGAATTGACGAATCAGCTGCAAGGAAGGGTCGCTTATTGAATTTAACGTTAAATGACAGGTAAAATTTCGAAGATTCTTGTAGAAAAACTTTCCTTCTTAGCAACTTGTAAGCGAAAATGTGTGTCAACATACCATGTTTGCACGAAGGCACGTGTGTCCTCTTATTTATACCATTTAACACTGACAACAGATCCCTCGCAGTCTTCTTCATACAGGCATTTGTTTTACGTAGTCAAATCATACATTACTCACCTTTATCGTTACCCTTATTGACTCTCCCCTCCTATTTTTCTCTCTCGGCTATCGTGTCACATCGCTGCGGACAGATATGTCTCTTCGATTGTGTAGGTTCGCCTGAGGATATAACTCGTATATTTTACAAGAGACATAATTACAACGCGCTCTTCAGATTATAGATAAAACTCGATAAAGATAAGCTACCGCTTGTTTTTTGTCGCTTCCCTCATAAAGCGTCGTAAGATCAACCCTCAATCACTTTTTTTTTTTATGTGCCCCACTTGGAGTCATATCAAACCGTCACATTTTCATGTGACATGAAAATGTGACAGTTTAATGTGACAATTTGTTCTTGCAGAATATCTTAAAATAGATTTCAATATAAGAGACGGTGTTTTATATTTATCATATAAAATATATGATATATGATAAATTATTGATATCGCGCAATAAGTATTTTTGATAAGTATTTTTTTAAATAAATCTACCTGCTCCTTTTTTTGTGCCGGATAAAGCGTAGTTTGATTAACACGTAAATTTAATATTCGAAGCTGTAATTAGGTTTCGCCTATATCACGATTTTTTTACGTTGCGTAAAAGCACGCTGCGTAAAAAAAACAATAACATCCAATACTAGAAAATACAAAATTATTATACACAAGTCTATATATTAGATTAAAAAATATGAGATATTCTTATTATACGTGCGTTTGATATATGGAAATACGTATTAGATTTTAGACTCTCATTTTTTTTTTTTTATTTTTAGTTGATTTTCGTTTCCCCGAGATAACACGAATCGACAAAAAATGGAGGCGAAAAATGCTTTCGTTCGCAACTATGAAAAAATCGACACTGTTATTTGCGTGTGCGAGAATCATTGCGCGATGTAACTAAGCTTTCAACTTAATGGCACGTTGGAAATTTAATGTTTGCGAAAGCAAGTAAACGTTTGCTCAATTTACCTGGAGTAAACATAAGAAACTGAGAAAAGGTACGTGGCGGTAATAACGTTTCTGGTTGAAGGCAAAACCCTAAGGGCGGTGTACGGAGTGTAATGTGGTCTCCCGCAAACTACTGTCACTTTTGCTCGATTGGTTATTCTTCACGTGTATATTTTTCTTCGTGATACATGATGAAATTCTCCTGCGAATAGAATCGTGCAAACCCACGTGCGCGTATATCGCGATATGAAAAAACGCTGGCCGGAGTTTTGAGAAAAAACACACGTACACACGACGCTGCAATGGTAATAATCTCGTTTTAATATTTCATGAAGAGGAAGGGCAAATATTTCAGTAATTTCTCGTTAAAATTTGAAGGATTCTCGAAGGAGCGGATGTCGATTTATTTCATCGTTTTTATCGCCCCGCCGATGCTTAATGAAAAGCTTGTGTTCAGATCGGCGTTAATATCGGTTGCCGCCAACATTATCGAATACATACCGGTAATGAGTCTGCGAAAAGAAGGCGAGCAACATTAATAAATATCGAAATTCCTGAAAGGAATCGTCTGGAAGGAATCGTCACTTTGTGAATTTTACTTCAACGTCCTTTTTTTTGGGGTCACTGCAAGCGGCGCATAATTTACGGCGCTTTTCCGTTTCTTCTGTCGCACGACCATCAGCTCGTATGACGATTAGTCGACCCCGCATAGCCGAGCTCGTCAAACTGCAATAAAATTCTACTAGGGACGACGTTAACGGCGTTTTTGCGCCGCGATTAACCGTCGCTGCTTTTATACATTTCAAGCGTACGATTTCTATCTGTCACCGCACGACCGCCTCCCTTTTTAACTATGTATATCGCTTTATAATTTCATATCTTTTTATATAGACACACATCTGTATAAAACTCATGCTTTACTTCTCCACGTTTGTCACTGTTCACAAATCAGTCCGAATCGTGTTCGTATCGATAACAATTTGAAACTTTTTAAAGAAGCCCGTTGTCGCAATGCCGCCGGCGATAACGTTTTGTCTACTGATATTGACGTTGACAGCGGCGAAGAATACAATAGACATGTACAAAAGAAGCTACACAACGGAGAGTGAAAATTTGAGGATTATTTTAAATTACATTCGCAGCAAACAGGAATATTATCCAATGATATTTGCCCTCGTTTCTTCCGACGCTCAGTCTAAGTTCACGGATTTCCTATCAAAATATATGGCGAGCGAATCGATCGTGAGTTACAAAATCACGACGAGCGACTTCTCGCAAAAGTACACATGGCAGAATCGTGTTGATCTCACCTGGATTTTCATCGTCGATAGTATTGACATTCTGAACTCTCTCGTGTACGAGCAAAGCCATATCTGGAAGGCCACTAATCAATATCTAGCAATCATCGCTACGCCGAACGCGGCAATTTCGCCGCGGGAGATTTTTCAGACGATCTGGAGGAACTACAATGTCCACAGGATCATCGTAATCTCGATACGAGATGACTTTCGATGTCTCAGCAGATATTTGCCGTTCGATAAGAATCAACGCGACGAATACGGCATCGTGCGCAAGATCTGCTTAATGAATCAGGAGAGCAACGTCGAGCTCTACGACAATTTGAGAAACCTAAACGGGTATCCTATAAAAGTGATCGTGTTCCAGTCGCTGATGATGGACGTCGCGTTGGACGAGAGCACGGGGAAGTACAGATATGACAAGCTGGACGCGCGGGCGATGTCACTGCTGGAGAAGACGATGAGCGCCGAATTTCGCATCAACGTGCTCACCAACTTCACTCACAACGCCGATCCCTTTCACAACTCTCTCAGGTACATCGAAAACGGCGAGTCGGAGATGATCATCACCAGCTTCTTCATTCATAAATACGAGTACAGGAAGTACGAGTTCACGGCGAGTGTCTACGAGGACAAGCTCTGCCTGATCGCGCCCACCACGGGCTTCGTGCCGAAGTCGTACATGCCGATAATGCCATTCGCGGTTGACCTGTGGCTGGCCCTCGCGGTGTACAACGTTCTCATGTCGATTCTGTGGTTCCTCGTCAAGTACTACAGCGAATCGTTCCGCCAGCAGGAGGCGATTCTTCTTCCCCTGATGAGAACGCCGGTTCTCGCACAACGAACGGACTCATCACCCAGGACGCATCCTCACGTCTCGTCGTGCTTCCACCTCGTCGAGACTTCCTGTTACCCGTTGCAAGAGGACGGCGGCAGCGGCACGACCGCTCAGAGAGTTCTTTTATTTGGCACACTCTTCTTCGGGCTCATCATTATCAATCTCTATCAGAGCATTCTCGTGTCCACTCTGAGCGATCCGCCTCATTACCCCGAGCTGGACACCCTGGAAGACGTCGCCAACTCGAACTTCACAATTATCACCAAGTATCGGAACTTGAGGGAGCACACGTTCAAGGGGAACAGCACTCTGGACAACAAGCTGCACAGCAAGTGCGAGGTGATCGTGTCGAAGAGACCGACGAACGACATGGTGGCATTCGGCCCTGAGAAGGTGATCGCCATCAGCCGTTACGCCTCATTCATGCTGGACAACATGAGCAGCTATTATGATGCGGACGGCAACGATCTGCTTCACATCATTGACGAGTGTCCGACTACCTATCTATTGTCCTACGTGATGAGACTCTATTCACCGTATCGTGAGAGGATCGACTGGTTGCTGCTGCGGATGCAAGAAGCCGGCCTCGTGAAAATGTGGTACGACGACATGGTGTATCCGATGCACGTGGCCGAGCAAAAGAGGAAGATGGACAAAAGCGAGAGGAGGATCAAACTTACGATGGAGCATTACTCCCTCACGTTCGCCGGACTTTCCATCGGCTTACTTTCTTGCTCCATCATATTCCTCGCGGAGCTTTATTTCGCTAAGAGATCCCAATCTCGCCGCTGAGAGCGTAAGAAGCCGGAACAATGGAAGAAGATCGTTTCCTCTCGCATTACGGACGCGTAAACATTTCAGTGCGAGTCAGAGGCTTGCAAAATCAATCATTCGCTTTATTCGAGTTTGTCATCGTGAAATTTCTTGCGAATTAATTACAGTAGACTTGATATCTAATAAATCGGCAATATCGTCGCGTGACAATATTGGACTTAGCAATATTATAATCTCGATCAACACAGCTGTTTCGCCCGCAATAATCTCAAGATCATGATTAATCGGTGCCAGGTGCTTCGCTATCGATCGCGAGAGCCTACTATTTGCGATATAATTATTCTGAATAGGAGCATCACGCGAGTTAGCGCTAACGCGACGTTTCCAGAGAGAAACGGGGTTTATTTTAAGAATCTACGAAAATACGCACACACGCGCCTCTCTTTCTCTCTTTTCTCTCTGACGAAGACGAAGGCTCAGTCGTGGACCGTTGCTTGAATGTAGTCATGGCCTCTCGGGGATTTGTACCATTGGCAGCGATTTTAATCACCATTTATTTAGGTACGCACGCAAATTGGATCGCGTCGATATCAATCTAACGCTAAATATGTGTTCTCTAGATATATCATCCGTGGTTGTCACCGCCGCGGCCGTCGCGTGGGATCCGAAGACATCTAGGTGACTATTATCACTTTCACTGCGCGATAATTCAGTTTGAAAGAATATAGACGTGTAATAAGAGATATAAATGACTCCTTTGTCACATTGTACGGTAGGTATAATAGTTACAACTTGGACAAAGGACCGGTGTTCTATGAGGCGTATTATCCGGATATTCGCGACGCTTATCAAGAGAAGCGCTACTTCGACCGGAACGCAGTATTGGAAAAAAGTTTTCAAGTGCCCTTCAAGCGTCTCGCTTACTCGGCCGGGACTGCGGACCGTCCTGTCACGAGTAATGAATCATTCGTCGTAGTGAATAACGAAGAGCCGGGTGAGCAGCAGAAAAGGGCGGAATCTCGGCGCTATTACGATACCGCAGACAAAACCGCGCCTTTCCAAGATGAATACCCCTCGACGGGGATTTTCAACGGCGATGAGAAGCTCGAGAGTACGAATGTCGAGGAAATTTCCAAACTCGTTAGAAGAGCGATTTCTCGGGATCTTGAGAACTGGAACGCGCTCGAGAGATATCTCGACCGTACCGTCAATCAAGGTCCGCCGATAGCACAGCCGGCGGTGCACTCCGGGGAAAACCGCAGAAATAAAGAAGGCAATAGCTATTCGTTTCCGGTAAACCGACAATCTTTCGACCCGTCGAAACAGCTCAATTTCGAGCTATTACGAAAATTGGAAGACGCGAGGCAGCGACCTGTGTATTTCGAGCGAACCGACGCGAACGAGAACGCGCGTACGAGCACGATGAGTATCAGCGACACGCAAGCTGATGCGCCGGCGATCGGCGTCATTTCCGACTCATTGCCGTTGGAAAATATTTTTCAACCGCGGCCGCAAGTGATTAGATACATGTTCTTCAAGAAACCTATGCCGCAACCTACGCCGCAACTCGAACAAGTCAAGGAGGCGATTGATAATTCTACACCACGCAGCTACGGTGACAATCTCATTCGCGAAGAGATCGCTGACAACAGTCGCGGCAAGCAAGCGGAGGAAAATGTTAAAGTGACGTCTATCGAAGTAAGCGAACTGCCGCGGCACAAAACGCGTCATCATCACGGTGAATGGCCCAAGCGAGATTGGTCCGCTCATCGTCATCGTTCGCAAACTGCTGCTTGAAAGAAAAACAATCGAATAAACAAAGAGAAAAAAAAAATGAACAAAATTACCATATTTATCTTTGCAATTTCATGTCATCAAATAACGTCAAAGAATCACACTGTCTCAAACTATTTATTGAATGTACCATTGATATACATACAACAATCGTATATATCTTTATAATAGTGTACTCACAATAAGACATCTTCCACACTTATTCCTACGAGTAATCGGTTACATCAGCAATGACTAACGTTAATTCTAAGTAAATAGATTTTTTTGTTCTGCCTATAATAGTGCGGTGCGCAGAGGCGGAAGTCAGTTGAACCGGATTGTTAGCGCAATTCGGCCTAATAATTCTAACTTTTCTACTACTAATCAGACGAATATACTTTATATAATTTTATTAATCGATTTTAGTTAAACCATATAAACAGTTAGATTTTAAATTTGCACGCATGCGACAACAAACATGTAATTACTTGAGAAATATTTCTCTTTTACAATTCTAATAAGATTATTATAACTCTTCTAAAATCGTAAACGCAGATTTTACAGGAATGTTTGTATAATTCTTTCTATGATCTAGAACGATAAATTCTAAGTACTTGGGATGCTCGCGTGAAGTCCGCTACTATCGTGATGTAAATCAGAAGATCGTGATGTAACCAGAAGTATATCGCTTCTGTGACATTTTACTACGAAGATAAGTACAAGGATGAAACTCCGCAAGTACTTTACAAATAACCTATTCTATTGGAACACAACCTTTTTTGGTGAATAGTCTCAGTTAACTATATCTACAATTCTACATTTTTCTTGAATTATTTTTTACTTTTCTTCTACTAGTAATAACAGTCAAAATTCTATCTTAGCAAAAAATCTTCTTATATTCTTATAAAAGAATAAATCTTGATTAAAAAAAAAAAAAAATAAATAGCACCACATTTTCATTGATTAGAGTACCAATCCTTTCTTTCGTGATTTGCCGCACAAGACTTAGTGTAAAAAAAGTTCGCGATATTGTTACAATAATTATTATGCTGCCAGAAAATAACAATCTCTGTAATTAAGATTATGGCAGGTACTAATACATGAATATAAAAATAAAACTTAGTTACGTGGTTTACATTAGCCCTAGTTTCAGCTTAAATATTATGCATATATACGTATATATTTTAATTAGATATCAATTAAATATATATAAAATAGTTCACAAAAACTTTTCGCCAAGAATATAATCCATTACTCCAGATGTAAAAATAATCCAAAATCCGAATTTCTCAACTCGTTTCAACTAAAACAATTTTTTAAACATAAATAATATATTTTTGTCAAATGTAAGATACTAATTCGCTAGCTGACATTTAAGATCAAGGAAGATTGTAACAAAAATACTTAATAATAATAAAATGTAAAAATAAGAAGAAAAAGATAAATATCTACTAAGAGCAACAGATTCACCTGGTTTGCAATGTGATTCAAAATTAGCATATATAAAGTTGCGTAAAGTCCCATATGCTTTCTCAAAATTGTCATTTTCTATGATGATATCAAAATTACCCGGTGTTTCGCCTATAAATGAGAGTATGTGTAAGATTTTAAATATATAAGTAATATGATACTTGCATTTTTAAGCATAATTTTTCTACAATTAATTACAAATCAAGTAGAACATACCATATTCCAGTTCAGTTTTGGCAACTGCTAGTCTACGTTTCAGCGATTCTTCAGTTTCTGTATTTCTGGCCCTTAGTCGTCGCTCCAATTCCATAAGGGACGGTGGTTTTACAAATATGTAAAAGGGCTTGAGAAGACTGCTCTTTATCTGTTTCACACCTTGTACATCAATGTCTAATACACATATCTGTCCCAAACGATGCACCTCTTCGACTGCCTTTTTGCTACAATGCCATTTGGATTGTATTATTTTCTATGTATCTCTAATTTTTACATATATGCTTTCTCTTACCTTGTCCCGTACAGATTTCCACTATATGTAGCATTTTCAATAAACTCGCCGTTCTTAATCTGCTCCTGCATTTTCTTTTTATCCGTGAAATGATAGTGCTTCCCATTTTCTTCGCCAGGCCGTGGTGTTCTAGTTGTATGAGACACCGAAAATTTAAAGGTATCAGGGAATTCATCGAACAATCGCTTTATCAAAGTGCTTTTTCCGCTGCCCGAAGGGCCGCATAATACTAATGGACGTGGGCCTTTGTTAATCATGCTGTACTGACAAGCTGAAAGTACCCCTGAAAATATATTTCTTCATTTTTCAGATTCTATACACCCATCTATAATTGGATTCTTAGCCAATTAAACTACTTTCATATAACTTTACTTTATCAGATTGTTCAAATCCGTTGTATTGTAACATCATAAACAAAAACTGTGGATTCTGCATACCCATCTTTAATGCCTTAAGCCAGCGCTCGGAATTAGTTGCACATTTCGGGCCAATTCTGGAGACGACGCCTCGTGTCCCTCCACTACCGCCCGGCCGCTGGCGGCCGAGCCGCCGATAGCTCTGGTTCAGGAGCGTTTTATATTAGAAATAGGCTGGATTGTTTAGGCATCTCTCAGGAAATCGTAACATTCTCTTCACTACATAAATAATGTTTATTTTATTAATACATAATATATATATTTAATTATTAATGAAAATAAACATTATTTATGTAGCAAAGAAAATATTACTATTTTTTGAGAGGTGCCTCAACAACCGAGCCTATTTCTTATATAAAACGCCCTGCGTCAGAGCTATCGGCGGCTCGACCGCAGGCGGCCGGGCGGGTAGGTGGGGGGACGAGGACGGCGTCGACGGCCGGAGCACAGTACTTTTACATAAAGCATAACGCATAAGCATTAGGAAATTGATTGGTCTATATATAAGCATAAGCAAATGCATAAAGAAATGGACCAATCAATTTCCTTATGCTTATGCGTTATGCTTTATGCAAAAGTCTGTGCTCCGGCCAGTCGTCTCTTGAATTGGCCCGAAATGTGCAACTAATTCCGAGCGCTGCCTTAAGCAGATGATACTGTCCGACACCGTTCATCTCAAAATTTTCATTTTTTCATAAATCAATGTGACACAAGAGCTAGGTAAAAATGTAATAAACACATAATTCTAGCGTATATGTATTCAAGTTAATCACACATGATATAAAATTTTATTTCTTTTGTAGAATTTAAGTAGAAAATTAAGAGGGTTAGAAAAGCAAATATGACAGCATCTGTCCTTATAGATTTTAAGTTGTTCAAAATGAAATATATTGCAATATATCGCACTGTTAGTAATACTATGAATATTTTCAACTTATTCTTGTGTTGGATATCTCGAACAACCATGGCTAGCATTGTAGTTACTATTTCATCGAGATTACTTCAAAATGTCACATGTATAATAAAAATAATTATGAACAAGTATAATTTTTTAAAAGCATTTAGAAATTCTTACAATTAACAAATTAAGATGAACATTACATTAAGCTCATTAAGATGACTCATGTTGTAGCTAAATAAGCAAAATGTAATTTTGTGAATTTTAATGAATTACTTATGGCAACATTTATGATTTTACTGTTTAACAAAAAAATAATAAAAAAATTTAAGTCGATACAATGTAAAAATTCGAGTTTAATATTTATATGCGATTAGATCGTTTTTAAGATCGTTGATTGCATTAATATTCCATTGGATAGCCAGTTTTGGATTAGCAATTCGGACGATGTTATCCCAAATTCCAGTCTTACCTATAATAACAGACAAAAGCTGAGTTAACCAGATTATTCAGCTGATGTGGATTCGCAATTAGATTGGTAATTGATCAACACTGTCGAATACACCAGCAACACAATTTTTATTACCTTTACTTTCCTCTAAGTAACAAACAACCGCAGTTGCAAAGCAGAATACAAGCAATATTGCACGATAAAACTCAACACCACGAACCGGTGGACATGAATCATAGGCTTAGTTTACACCGATTGTTTAATACGCGTACCAAGTACTAAATCAGCTTCTTTGATTGGTGTAGATTTTACACTAAACGATTTATACCTATCGGAGAAGCAGATTTAGTATTTGGTACGCGTACTAAACAATCGGTGTAAACTAAGCCATATACGTATGACACAGCATATGACTCATTGAGTAAAAAGAAACAGGAGGGAGCGTTTGGTCTTAAAAGTGCGGACGGAAGTGACTATATAAAGTGGTCGCTCAAAATGGCCGCTCAAGGGCGCCAATATTGAATGACTTGTTATGTTTAATTAGGAAATAATGTACAATTAAAAGAAAATAACTATAATATGCAACAATAATACCAAATTTTAATGGCGTTTTTCATTGAGATTGCACTCGTGCAGTATTTCCATAAGAGCAATGTTAAAATCTAAAATCTAAATTTATATTAAATCCTTTGTCCTTACAAAAATTTATCCATGCATTTCTTTGATCCGGATTTTTCGGAAACCTGTTTGTGAGTGAAAATTATTTAGTAATTATTGTGAATCTACAATTTCACAATACTATACATATGATTATAATCTCCAAATTAAAAATCTCATTATTGTTGATAATACTAACCGATGAAACGTTATTCCATGATTTCGAGCTGCTGCTGTTATGCCACAAGCTCTACAGTATACCATTTTGATCGTTTATTTCCATACACTGTTGCATAAAAGACTATACACTGCATATTAATGCGTACGGCATGCCGCTTGCCGCAATGCTCGAGCATTCCCTCTCACTTTCAAAAAGTGGTCGCTCAAGATGGCTGCCATGACGTACATCCGTCCGCGGATTTACCTAGTCCTGGCTAGTATATGCTCCCTCCTGTTTCTTTTTACTCAATGATATGACTTGGTATTGATAGTACGGGGGCTTCATACTACACCTGTTATTCGAAATACTTTCTAGGAATAAATACACTGTTGGAGATAATTCCTAGAAGACAGATTTTTTTATTGGACATCGATGTGGCATAATTCATGCAATGTGAATCCACCATTAGCAAAACAGTATCGACAAGATTCAACGGAAGTAAAACACGTGTTGCAAGAAATTATTATACAATTAATTTCGGAGACATATTCAAAGTATTAGTGATATTGCATATATTATTTTATTTAACAAATTATCAGCTAAATATTACAATTAAATAATGATTGAACAATTATCGCAACCATCGCGCATACTTTCTTTAAAACTTATGTCCACAAACATTCGAATTTTCATAAATAGTTTAAAATTTTTACAAATTTAGGCGGAAATATAAGACACTTATTAGGTACATTTAGTTAAAAAGTTAATTCGACCTAATTACAAAAAGGAATATTGGTCAAAGGTGAACATGTTGAAGTAATTACAATTCGATAATATAAATATTTTGATGTATAAACTATTACGCATAAAATTTTATATGGAACGATATCGTGAATTTTCATAAATGGAGACACTTGAATTTTTATAAATGGTTTAAAATTCCTACAAATTTAAGGGGAAATATAAGACTTATTTGGTACATTTAAAAATTAATTCGACCTAATTGAATAAAAAAGAATGTTGATCGAAGGTGAACGTGTCGAAGTAATTAATTACGATTTGATAATCTAAATATTTTGATGTACAAACTATTGCGTGTAAAATTTTATATATACGATCATCGTACATATAAAATTTCGCACGTAATAATTTATACATCAAAATATTTAGATAATTAGGTCGAATTAATTTTTTAATTAAACGTACCAAATAAGTCTCATATTTCCGCCTAAATTTGTAGGAATTTTAAACTATTTATGAAAATTCAAGTATTTGTGGACATAAGAAATTTCGACCAACATTCCTTTGCGTTAAACTTGCAATAAAATATAATAATAAAATATAAAAATTAATTTAAAAACGAAAAGAAATTATACATGTATACAATCTAATCATCATTATCGAAATTATTTGCACTCTGCTCCCGAACCATGGCAACACATGATAAATGTAAGCGCATATATATTAAACACAATGGAAAACTCTATAAATAAATATCACATTCGATTCACTTCACAAAAACGTTACGTCACTCCTTATGTCGATATTAATCTCGTCCATGCGATATCGGCACTTTAAAACTATTTCTGCTTGTACTTTAAACAACAGGGTATTTTATTTTAAAACACAGGATACTCTTCGTTACCCTATGTGTCTCCATTTGTAAATCTTGAGATAAGAGTTAAATTTGTCACATACAAGAAATATTCAAAGATTTAAACTTGGGTGGGACCAGCAGATTTGCCTTGTGTTCTACGACGTGCTAATTCAGACATGACCACAGGACCAATATGCGGTGATCTTGGATTGCTCGCCATTGCTCTATACGTCGCTGCTACAGCCATCTAAAATAGAATTCACTATGAATATCGATGTATTTATAAAGCTATCTGTCATTATATGACATTCAACAATCAGCAGTCTAAAGTTAGCAAAACATTCACACAAATAATTTGTATATTTACATCTCTATTTTGCTAAGAATACATACCTTCAAACTGTGCGTATCTTTAATAAGATCCGGTAATACTTTTTGAGGGATAAGTTGCCGATTTACAATCCACGGATACTTCAAAATAACGGCTGCTGTAGGCCTACGATTGGGATCGACATGCAACATTCTTTTAACCAACTCTTTAGCTTCGCTTGAAATATGACACCATATCCCGCTTTCCACGTCGATGTATCCCGGGCCAATGCGGTCTAATATATCGCTCACGCTATCTCCTGGGCTGTTGCGAAAAGGCGTGTACCTGTGCGTCAAACAATAAAATTAATTTAATTCCGACTGCATCAATTGCGCAAAGTAATCACTTTCGAAGTTTCTTCATACCCAGCCAGCATGATGTACAATAAAACTCCGAGCGACCAAATGTCACACGCCGCATCATATCCTTGACGTTTCAACACTTCGGGCGCTACAAAATTCGCCGTGTAGCAAGGCGTCATTAATAAACCGTTTTCCGCTCGTAATTGTTTTGCAAAGCCGAGGTCGCATATACAAAGCGTCGTTGGATCGCCACCAGACTTCGCGTACAAGATATTAGATGGCTTCAAGTCTCTGTGAACAACCTGTAATTTTTTTTTCTTTGTTAATACAACAAATGTAGCGTTTCGTCGCATATGTGTATGTGAATGTATAGATTGAAATATGTGACGCAAAGCCATTTGGCGTGTCTCTCATACTTACTCCGTTCTCGTGAAGATAGTGCACCACACTGGTAATAGTGTAAATGACTTCGGCAGCTTCCCGCTCAGTAAAATTTCGCCTCTGCAGTAGACGGTCAAGTAGTTCACCACCGCGTAAAAGTTCCAATACGAGATACACTCGTCTGTCATCTTCGTGAACCGCTCTCAACGTTACGATATGGGGATGCCTGCCATACCGTAATAGAATTTCTATTTCCTCCGTCGGATCTCGCTTCGATTTCTCGATCACCTATTTCGTATTGTTATTTAGTTGTTTTTTCTAATCTGTATTTTAACTTCGTGCAGACAAAAGCACGTACCTTCACTGCGTATTCCATCTTGGATGCCGTATGAACGGCTAAATAAACCACGCTGTAACTGCCCTTGCCAATCTCGTCTTTAAATTCGTATTCATCAGTTATGGAAACTGGATTGACATAGGAGGGAAAGGTAGATGCTAAGCTGATGTTTGCATAATTTTTGCCCTCCGGGGGCTTGGCGAGATCCGCGTCCGCGAGCAAACACGGCGCGACGAAGCTGAATCCACGGAATAATTCGTGAGCGGTCGCGCTAGGCGGTAATCCAGGAGAATCTGAAAGGAACAATTTCTTTTATAAAGATCTCGGAACGCGTTTAATTATTAACAATTTGAATCTGCTTCACTGCGCTACTCCCTTCTCTTTTGTTTTTAAGAAGAAGCGTCACCTTTAGGTGTTTTACAGGTGAATTCGCTATCGAAGTAAAACGCATCATCTTCCCTAACGGCTGGTTTAAATGGCGGTTTTATTTCCTTTTTGTAAAGAGCATCCCAATCGATGGTAGCGAAGAAAATATGACTTTTAATTTCTTCTACTCCACCTGAAAAGTAAAAAAATTGATATTAAAACTACTTATGCACATACTTTGGTTACCTTTTTCAACTATGTCTAAATGTAGAATGCAAGATTTACCAGCACCAAGGCGATTCGCTGGATTTCGCTTAAACAATACCCTCAAAAGTGCCTGGGCTTCCGGCGAAAGATTGTGTGGCATTCCGAGTTTAGCTTTCAAGATTTGCGTCATTGTTTCTTTACGATTTCCACCTTGAAACGGAAGAGCGCCTGTCAGCATTTCAAACTAAAAATATTGAAGAGTGTTATATAATGCTTTTCAGTGTCTATTTTTTTAATTAATTGTATTAATTTAAATGTAATGTGTAAGATCTAACTGACCATTAAAACACCAAAACTCCACCAATCCGCTGTAAAAGTATGCCCTTTTCTATTAACAATTTCCGGTGCCATATACTCAACAGTGCCACAAAAAGAATATGCCTTCGAATCGTCAGAATCCAAAGGTTGTTTGCTCAATCCAAAATCCGTTAAAGATATGTGGCCTTCTGTATCTAATAAAATACTGAAAAAAGAAAAGATTAATCAAGCGTACTAATAATAGATTTTTATTAAAAAATAAAATATAATTAACAATACAAACTTTTCAGGCTTCAGATCTCGATAAATAATTCCAAGTTTATGTATATGATCCAGTGCAAGTGCTAGTTCAGCCAAATAAAATTTAACATCTTCTTCTGTAAACATTACCTGAAAATTAATTACACTGATGATTACAGATACATCATAGCATTTTCTTACAAAGTGAATTATTCTACTTATTTTCGAATTTCTTTAACTGCTTAAATATATAGTTTTACAATTTTTTAAATAACAATCAAATACAATTTTAAATAACTATTAACAATAACAATCACCTCTTTGGATAATCTGGAAAAGAGATCACCGCCTTTTAGAAAATCTAGGATTAAATAAAGCTTTCCTTCTGTTTGAAATGCGTAGTGTAGTCGAACGATAAATGGATGTTCTACATCTACCAATATGTTTCTTTCCATTTTGGTTCTAACTCTATCACGAACTAAATAAAAATGGATAATAAAATAATTAATAAAGGATTAAAGATAATATGCACACATTTAACAGTATATCAAATTACCTTTCAATGTTGCCTTCTTTAAAACCTTCATAGCATATAGTGTACCGCTGTCATTTCCCATAACTTTTCTTACTAAAAATACCTATATTTAAAAAATAAAATAAAATTATGTACATCAATTGTTGCAAAAAGTAGAAAAATATATATATTTAGCACATGTGCAGCGTTCTTACCTTGCCAAAGGAACCTTGGCCAAGGACTTTTAGTAACTCAAAGTGGGAAGGTTCTGCCTTTTCATAACCATCTCTTACCATATCACGTACTTCAATCTCAGATTCAATCTGAGATTCCGAGCAACCGTTCAATTTTTCGAGTAAATTACCTTGAGTAATCATCGTTTCTTCCTGATTTTCAGCCGGAAGAATTTCCGAACTTTGCTAGAGGGTGATAGGAATAGAAAATAAATCATACATCTCGAATGTTAAAAAATTGAAAAAGAAATAACTCAATTTATATGCTGAAATGACCATTTCGAAGGAAATATTAAGTTTTACCTTTTCATTTATACAGTGCTCGGTCCAAGGAGCCGTTAGAGTCGCCAACGGCATTATATTCAAAGTGTCGGTTATTTTTGGAATTGCAAACGTTTTTGTAAAATATTAAGTATTCTGTTAAATCGTTGCTAATGCATATACGATCATTTAATTGCGAAAGACAAACTTCATTAATTACTGGCTTTGTTACAAACTCACGATAATCGCGGGGAATTCGTGGTTAACTGCTAACCTATGTATACACACATGTAGATATATATGCATACAATTTATGTACATAGATAGATAAGTGTAAGTCGTGCGTAAGCAATATATATTGATCGATGACATGGTCCTGCAAGCTAGTGTTGCGAGTAAAGGCCGGAGCACAGACTTTTACATAAAGCATAAC